TTTTGCCACCCTCATTGTAAAAAATTTCTTCTTTACCTCTAGTCTAAATCCACCCTCATAGAGTTTAAAACCATCACCCCTTGTCCTTTTGCTACAAGTCCAGCTAAAAAGTCTGTCCCCATCTTTTTTATGGTCCCCTTCAAGTATGGAAAGGCTGCAATCAGGTCTCCCCAGAGCCTTTCTCAGGCTGAACAGCCCCAACTCTCTCAGCCTGTCCTCACAGCAGAGGCTGCAAGCACACATTGCTGGCTCATGTCCCACCTTTCATCCATTAGTGCCCCCAAGTCCTTCTCCACAAGACTGCTCTCCATGCCTTCATCCCCCAGCCCGTATTGATACTGGGGATTGTTCTGACCCAGGCGCAGAACCTTGCACTTGGGCTTGTTGAATGAACCTCATGAGGATCACACGGGCCCACTCGATGGCGTCCCATCCCTCAGGCATGTCAACCACACCAATCAATAGAAATAAAATAATCCTCAGGACATTGGAAAGGGCTGCCTGGAGGGGTTGTGGGTGCCTTGGAGGTGGTGACAGTGTGACTGGGTGAATTGCTGAGCTGTCTTGAGGCTTGTGTAGCAGGAAGTTGACCCATTACCTAAATTAGTGTACAGCTTTCTCAAACCTCCGTTGAAAATGAAGAAATGTGTATGTGTCTGTTTCTCTCAGCCCATTTTTATGTTTGTGAGCTTTAGTTGTAGCTGGAAGTCACTGTAATATTGTATAGTGCTAGAACTGATGTGTATATTCTGATCAGGTATATGAAGAATTCACTCCAGGGTTAGGAGCAGTTTCATGATATCACTATGTTAGGCAAAGGCTACTAAAGGGAAAATAAGGAGGGCATTGGTGCTGATGTCAGAATGTCCTTCCCCGTGTGAGGCTGCCAAAAATCGGGGCCGTCTGTTCAGTGATTGTATCGGAGCTGTTGTTTCTGTTGCGGTGCGTGGAGAGCAGCAAAAGCTACAGTTGCAGGAGGATACTTTGGGGAAACTACCTTTAAAAAATCCACAGACCAACCAACCGAACACCCACAGAGGGGCTGTCTGCAGTCACCCAGAATTTTCCCCTGCAGTGCGTTGTAAAGCAGTTAAAGGTGGGAAGTTGTTCTCTTGCCAGAAAATACCATCAATGCCATTCTGCTTTGCTGAAATGGTTACTTTGTTCAGAAAAACGATCCTCCCTTTCGCTGTTTCCAGCCAGTGCCATTACTGACACATGTATCCAAATTCAGTATGCAAACACACCTTTACCCACATGCTCTGAAAAAAACCTATAATGCATGGAAGAGTGTGCACCCGTCACTCCTCACAGAGAATGTCACTCATCAGTCAAAAGTGAATAATTAAAACATAGCTTATTCAAAATGTAGGTATCAAACTCGGGATAAATGGAAGGTATGAGCTGAACAGTCTGCCCACCCTAGCAAGGGCTGGCTTTGTTCTGGTTTAGAAGCCAAAAATAACAGATGGACAAAGCAACATAAAGCGGGGCCGTGTGGGACGTGTCTGGCCCTGAAAATGTAATTAAAATCTCTAGTAATGAGGGGTAACAGCAAATAATACTGTTTTATGGTGTCTGACGCCTTGGGCTTACGTGGCTGTTGAGTTAACTTTATTCTCATCTTGTTTCCTGCCTGGTGTTAGAATGGATACACCCCTCTGCATATTGCTGCCAAGAAGAATCAGATGCAGATAGCTACCACTCTGTTGAACTATGGGGCCGAGACCAACATTTTGACCAAGCAGGGAGTCACTCCGCTTCATTTGGCCTCCCAAGAAGGTCACACTGACATGGTGACCTTGCTTTTGGAGAAAGGAGCCAATATCCACGTGGCAACAAAGGTAACTCACAATTGGAGACCAAGTGTTGTGGGTGGGAGCATCCAGTAAGGTTCAGAGTGCAGTGTAGGAACGATGTCAGGTTGTCAGGAATTGTCAGCTTCACTTCTTCCTTCGGTACAGATTTGTGAGTCTGCAGAGGTGACAACAGGTGAGTGAACAGTAAGTTGAGAAGAGGATTATCTAGGACTGACACGTGGATTATTGACCAGTTAACTTATATCATGTGATTAATAGCTGCAGTGGGTAACGCACAGGAGGAGCTGCAGCTCTTTGCCGTGACCAGAGGAAGACGATGTAACATCTGGCTCTGGTATAGAGGTTACAGAAGGAAAGACAGACCAAGAGAAGATTCATTTTTAGCACTGAGGAAAGCAGGGCTTCATTATTTTTGTTGTGCTGCAACCTTGCCATCTCTTGGTGTTTTTCATATGCTCCTCAAGTTTTGTGTTAGACACAAAGAAAAAGGAATGTAAAATTCTGGAGTTCCTGGGTCCATGGGTAGATTTAACTACATGGCTCAGAAACCTGAGAGCTACGTTCTAAAATAGTTCTGTGCTCTTGCCAGCAAAGGTGCTTTTCCTCATGTATTTACCCTTCAGCCTTGTTGCCAAGTGGAAGAAATTGACAATAAATAACAAAACGACATTATTACTGGAGCAGGGAGTGAGAAGAATCCTATGGAGAACCTTTCAAATTTTTTTTGAAAACAAGTTCCTCAAAAACCCAAAACATTACTGTAGATTTTCATAGGTCACCAGATTTATCCAAGTATACATGTAAATCTTTTTTACTTGAGGTGAAAAGCCTGCAGCTTTTATTCATACAACTCAAAACAGAAGACTTGAGTATCTCATTGTCTGGCATTAATATATTATGTTACCTAATCAATGAGAAGCATTGCAGTGATTTTCATTTCTCTTACAAAATCTGTTCCCTGCCTTGTTCAGAGGCAAGTACCGTGTGCGTGATCACAGTGAGCTTTTAGCTAGAGGCTGCATCCATTCCCTTGGCATGTTTGAACGGGATCTATTTCTGAAGTTATTTTCTTGGTTCTGACTCGTGCTTGCAGTTGTCAAGGTTCCCTTTCCTGTCTGAGGAGTGGGAAGCACCATGAGTGTGCTTCCCTAACTTATTGATGGGCTCCTCAGCTTCCCAAGTGATACTATTTTATAAAATTCAAGCGTGATTATTGATGCCTGAAAGTTTTACTCTGTGGTTACAGTGATGTAATTGCTTTGGAGCTGTTTGTCACCTGGAACAGGAGTAGCATCAACTCTACTTTGTTTAAAAAAGCCACCCATCCTGAGAAGCTTTAGTTAGGATCTCTTCACGTTTTAAAAGATGAGAAAGTGGGAAAGTCTAGATTTTTCTTTCCTCATGTAAAGTAAGTTTTATTCTTTTTTAAAAAATATTTATTTATGTATTTATTTTGTACATTCCACCTCCAGACTGGATTGACATCCTTACACCTTGCAGCTCAAGAGGATAAAGTGAATGTAGCTGAAATACTCACAAAACACGGTGCAAACCAAGATGCTCAGACAAAGGTAAGTCGTGGAGTGGCTGCTGTCTCCATTGTGCCAAAGAATTCTAGTGCTGGAAAAGGAATGTTCCACTCAGCTTGCAGTTTGACTTCTTATTCTTTTCTTGTAGCTTGGTTATACACCTTTAATTGTGGCGTGTCACTATGGAAACATCAAAATGGTGAATTTTCTTCTCAAGCAGGGAGCCAATGTCAATGCTAAAACAAAGGTAAAGAGTTTTTTATTGCTTGCTTTTGCTTTTTGCTCTGAACCTGGTAACCAAGCACTGTGAATATGTACCATGCCTCCTTTTTCACTGGGAAACTATAATTGTTGCGTGGTAGGTGTGAACATACGGCAATTCGTGGCTGTAGTGGAATGCCTTCTCTCTGATAGTAGTGTTCACAAAATAAAAGTCAGGTACCTCTGGGCATATGAAAGAAGGTGGAGAATAAATTTCATTGTTTGTTTGGTTTTTTTCTTCTTTTTACTTGCAAATGAACAAATATGAGCTTGTTCCTGATCTCATTTACACATGTTCTACACCAGTGTGATACCGGTGTGCTGCCAAACTAGTAAGTAACAATTCAGGCACTTGGAGGCTGATGCCAGGTTCTCTCCAGTCTGCTGGGAGTGGGAAGAATTGCTGCTGATCAAAGCGTGGGTGGTGTGACTTGGGGACAGGAAGCAGCTGTGCTGGAGAAACGCAGTTTAGTGAAGGCAGGTTTGGAGTTTTTTGAGGGGAATCTGGGTAGACTGTTACTGAGCCATGATACTGAAATGGACCTGGCCACCTCTAGCCAACATCTGGACAAAATCCAGCAGTTTCTTCTAGTCTAAACTGGTGGGCACAACATTTAATGTCATGCATTTTGTAACAAGAATTGTCTGTCTCCTGAGTATTCGCGGAGAAAGAGGTTCTGATGACAGCAGCAGTGTGTGGCATCCCATCTATCATCACATCACCCTCATCAGAAAGCGAAGGCTAACTCAGGAGCTGCAGGGCTTCAGCTTAGTTAGAGCTGGCTGCAGGCAATAGCTAGCTACCAGCTTCAGAACTGGCTGTTTTGGGATCAACAGCAAGAAGTCCATTGATATTTCTGGTGACATACTTAATATTTATAAGATCCAGTCAAAATCACGGGCTTGTGGTCTGCTGGTCCCTCTGGGCAGCTCCTCGGTCCCCAGCTGCAGCCTGTGGGATGCATTAATTTCTGCACTACTTCATCATAGTGGCTGCAGCTCAGTATGGTAAGAAACAGCAAAGTAAATAAATAAAAGACACTGGCCCATCCCTCATGAGCTCACCCCCAGATCAGTGGGCAAAAATCAGGGATTCCAGAAGAACAGGCAATACCACCAGAAAAACAGCTGATAAGAATTAATAAAGCAGACACTAGCAGGATCCAAGTGATGGCTGCCAAGACGCTCAGCTGAGGTATTTGGAGGCGAGCTAAAGGGACAGACACACTCGTGTTTTCAGTATGAGGTGTCCCTCTGTGCCTAAAGGGCCGCTGGGCCAGATTCTGACACCATTTCCCCAGGTATTTAACTTATTTAGAATAATTTCATTAAAGTCAGCAAATTTTTATGGGAGTATGGGGCAGCAGTTCTCCAAAATCTCACACCTAGGGACCAGCAAAAATGCTGGCAATCTATCAGCTGGTAAGTACCATGGACTCAACTTAAAGAGCAAATCCCTCCTGGCTGCATTCAGGGCAGGCATGTTAAAGGGTAAGTAACCTCTGATGCAGGTTGGTCTTTAGCTAGAGGAAGCCTGCGTGCTGCTTTGTGCCATCTCCAGTGAAAAATGATACAGCTGAATTCTGGTTTTGAAGGACTGCACTAATATTTAAGAAAAGAGAGCGAGTTTACTTTGCACTGCAACCTACAGTAAAATCCTCCTTTGATTTCTCAGTAGTCCATACACACGTACTGTAAACGTAAGAACTGTGTCAGCTCTGAACTATCACTGTTTAATTAGTGTACAAAGCATTACTTGCATCTCTTGGTTTGCAAAAAGAAGTAACTCTGAGAGTGTCTTTTCAGAGCCTGCCCCCAGGCTTCACCTAAGTGTGCAGTGAGATCAACTCGCTGTTTCCTTCCAGTTTATTCTCTGCTTGCTTTCAAAGCCAATCCCAAATAATTTTGTCAGTTAGTTGCCTGGCTGGACTTACACAATAGCATCTGAGATCAGCTAGCTGGAGTACACTACGGTTGTGTTTCCGTGTTGTGTAACATCAGAATGAATCACTGGAGCAAAGAAATATATGGAATTAAGTGTGTGTATTAATGCAGACATTGTGTGCATGTTTGTAAGGGTAATTACAGCTTGGTCAAGCCTTTTGAAGGCAAAGTAAAGCTCAAATTGATTGACATTAGTGATGGGTGTATGTTGTTAACCTTTTTAAAAGCAGACAGACTCAAATCACTCCTGTTAAAAAATTATATATTTTTTCAATTGGCTCAGATATTTTAAAAGCAAATCTTGGGGCTTCTGGAAGAAACTTAAGATGTGAGAGGGAGAAAAATATTCTCAGCCTCAGCTATGACTCTGTGTCCTTCTCATGCCTTTAACTTTACCTCATTGTTCCTCCCTCTGATTTAGAAAATGAGGAATTATCTTTCTTTCCAGAGATTGCTTGTATTGTGAGATTAAAGATGATTGGTGAATAAAAACATTATATTTCTATATCCTTTTAATCATCTGGGAAAAGAATATTACTATTACTGAAGAGTTATTATCTTTGGGTCAATTGATGGCATAATTTCTTTTTGAAATGTCTCAAAAGGAGCAGAAAGAAGCAAAGCCAAGTGTCTAATCTAATTGCTGGTGGTTGTTGTTCTTTGTTTGCTTTTCTTGTAACCACCATGGACAACAGAATGGATACACCCCTCTTCACCAAGCAGCTCAACAAGGCCACACTCACATCATTAACGTTCTTCTCCAACACGGGGCCAAGCCCAATGCCATCACCACTGTAAGTCTGTGAAAGTGCCAGTGAGAACTTTGTTCCCTGGACAGTTCTTTTCTTACCTTTCTTAGGGCTTGAGAGCAAGCCTTTGTTTTGCTGAAAGTATTCCTCATACTGATGAATAAATGTGACTTCCTGTTCTTTTCCTGATCCTCTCCAGGTAGTTGAGATCACATCTAACTCATTGGGCACTAAGCTAAATGTGAGGTGGGGGAACTGATTTCTGAGCTGCAGGATCAGGCTGGCCACAGCTGCCTGTGCTGTACTTGTTCAGTTGTCCTCTGCTTCAACACTTCTGTCTGTAAATTGGTATCTCAACAAGGATTTTTCAATTAAAATTAAGAGGAAAACAGAACCTGGGGTTTTTTTTTAAATATTTAGGCCCAAATTTTTGTCCCTCTGTCCACTGGATCTGTTTCAGGTTCTTCCTGAGTTCACTGATGTTAATGCTTCTCAAAGGCTGACAGTAACCTCTGGCACAGCCTCTTCTCCACAGTCAGCCAGGAATACAACTGTCCTATTTCATGTTGATGTTGTCATTAGTCACCTCTAACTGGGTAACCTTTAAAACGCAGCCAGAGCCTCCAAAACTCGTGTCATTCCCCAGAGTGGATGAGTTTTCCGTGCTGAAATTGGCTCTGGTGTTTGGTCCTGAAGCAGTCACAGCGAGTAAGCAGTGAAGTTATCCAAAATACCAGTTTATGCACAAGCAGATCATCAAGAGACCGTTGTAGTACCCCAGGGCTGCAGGTGCTGTTGGGCATATTCAACCCAAGGTCTCTTGACTGGCTTCCAGTCCTCACCTTGGGGCTGTTGTGCCCAAATCTAACCCAAATCCAAGCAAGGTCTCAAGGATGTGTCTTCACTGCACAGTTTATGTGCTTTCTCAGGTACTAGATCTGTTCTTATTCACACATAGGAACCTCTAGCTTGAGAGGAGAGAATTTCAACCGAAGACATCTGGCAGGGCGATGTGGGAGTGGGATATGAGCAGGTAACATGCAAGTGACAGGAACAGTCAAATTATTTCAGCAGTGAAGATACTAATCTCTTTGTTTTGTGCTGCTACACCACAAACACTGTGTTGTCTCAGCGTTGCTGAGCTAGAGTAACACAGAAGAACTTGGAGATAGCCAGAGCCCATCCTGAAGAAGAGAGTGGTGTCACAAGAGAAGTCATCTCCAGTGGCTTTCCATGATTCCCCCAGGAGGCCAGCGTGTTGTCCCTTGGTTCAGTACAAAATAACCTAAATCTGTTCTGTGTAGAGCTTTTTACAAAGAGTCATAGAACACACGTCCCTTCCTCCCCTCCCCAAGTGTTGTGACACAGGAACTGTGCGCTGCCAGTGTTCCAGGTGATGAAATGGAGATAAATAGGTCTAAACACTTCCTAAATTATCATTTTAATGTCCATTTGATGGATGGAACGCATATATATATATATTTATGTATATCATGGGCATTTAAAACTGCAAATAAATGTATTTTAATGGCAATTAATTCCCCACCCCCAAGCCTTATCTGGGTCGTTTTTGTGTTTGTTAAATCATTAGCTTTTGTGTACTTTCATTGGCCATACATTAGTGTTTTGAGGAGGAACAGAAGTATATGTGGACAAAACAGCTGTAATCTCGTTTTCCCCCCGAGAAGGAATTGTACCTGATAGAGAAGTGGAACTGGAACATTTTAAAATCCTTCTTTTAGAAGAGTGTTTCTGATGTAGAGCTCTTGATGCAAAATAAAACGTGAACTTGAGCAGCCAAGACACATCCTGTAGAGTGAAAGGCGAGCGCTGAAGGGTTAAACCATACAGCACTTTTCATTTAGAAGAGCAGGCAGATGTAAGTGTGTTGTGTTACCATGGTGATCGGGGCTATAGTCTTAACGGAGTTACAGAGTCAGATGTAACAGTAAAAAAACTGCTTTTCCTAGGCTGCGCCTTGTTTTGGATGGAAATGCTGGCTCATGCCGTGTTGAGAGTGATCTCATTGGTTCACATCACAATCCTCCCTCTCACTGCTCTCCCCTCTCTCTCTCTCTCTCCCCTTCTCCCTTTTCTCTTCAGAATGGTAACACTGCCTTAGCTATTGCGAGGCGCCTGGGATACATCTCAGTGGTCGATACGCTGAAGGTTGTAACGGAGGAGATCACCACCACCACAACTGTGAGTTGCAGATGCATTAAAATGTCTTCTCTTCTTATTCAGAATGTTGTCCTTCTCTTCTTCCCTCAGACTCTCCCTGTATCTCTTTCCTTGTTTGTTTGTTTGTTTGGGGTTTTTTTCTAGTTTTAGCCCCTGCTTTCTTTTTTTTTTTTAGCAAAAGTGGTATAGTGCTTTCAGTATATCTTATAAACATGTGGACGTGTGTGCAACAGAACAGGCTGAGCTAGGTAACAAAAAAAATCTGTGTGCATATAGATGGAAAACAACAATCCAAAAGCAAAGGAAAACTTTTTTTCTAGATGTGGGTCTGAGCTGCAAACCACAAACTTTCTGGAAGTTGGTGTGTTGTTGTTGTTCAGATCCTGTCCTGTGTCTCAGTTTCTCTTTTCCTCTTCAGTCTGTCCTTACATTTCCACACTTCTGACACCTACTGGGGCTCAGCCACAGCATTTGGACCGTACCAGCTGTGGGCTGGTGCCAAGCTTCACAGTGCTCACTAGATGGCTCCGAGTCACATCAATCAGCTTCTTACTCCAGTCACTTCCCATGCAAATAGATCCTGTTTTGCCAAAATATGAAAGAATCTTTCCTTACGTGCTCAGCCCTCTCGGTCCTCCACACTCTCAGTAGTCTGTGTTTTGACTTCAGGGTTTGTGAATATGTGCTGAACATCAGCAAGGTGAAACTGTTGCTTTAATCCAGGAAAAACTGATATATTCTGACACTCTGAGAGGGAAAGGTTTGTCTCTCCTTGGACTTTTACCTCCCATCCTCAAATGTTTTAGCAGGTAGGAAGGGAAAACATTAGAAATAGTGCATCATATCAGAAATTAATTTTAATTTAAATTTCCATTGCTGCATTTTATCTTGAAACACTGTTGTAAGGTCATGCTTTTTTGGGGGAAAAAAAAATGCAAGAAAGATTACCAGCCAAGAAAACTTATTGGATCTAGATGTTATTTAGGAGCTCAGAGCTGTAAAAGCCCACAGATTACTTAGGAGGTGCCACTACTCAATCACGGAGAGGGTTAGAGGAAGGGAAGAAATCCAAAGTCTCTTGTGAAGAAATGGGTAAATAATTTTGATTTTTAAATAATTAAATTGAAATAATTTTGATTGTCGCACGCTGACAACAGTTAAAAAAATTAGCAGAGGAAGATGAAATGAAAGTGACATGGGACAAGGTTACAAAGAGAGTGAGCTCTAGCTTATTAATTACCTGCAAAGACCAGGCTGAGTCAGGTTTGGACAAGGAATTCCAGTGTAATTCCAGAAGTCTCTTAATAAATAAAGACTGTACGGTTTTCTTGGTATTTATTTGGTGTTCTTGTTTAATCATATAGCACATCACACATGGATGTGCATAAACACATATGCATCTACTCAGAGATTTAAAAAAGGAAAACTGAGGTGACAGTTTTTGAGAAACTTGAGCTCTTTTCAGAAGTGTATTTTTTAGCCCCAGGTGACACATTTGCTGCTGCCTGTGCTGTGTCCTGGCACGCTTTTCCCATGAGAAGTGCCTGCTGGAAGTTGTCACTTCTTTCTGTCGTAGGTTGTGTTGCACTGTGGAGCCTTGTACCTTGTCACATGCAGGTGTGAGATGCTGTGGAGGAATAGGGATTACACTACAAGAAGGCACCTGCGAGTTATTTACTTTGGATAAAACTTTCTGTAAACTTTGAGGGTAATAGATTATTTTTTTTTACCAGTTACCAGATGTTTGGAGGTTAGGACTGAATCAAATACTGAACCTGACTTGCATAGTTGACCTCTAATGCTTTACATAGAAAAGAAATGTGAAATCTTGGACCGTGTCTGTGTACAGAGCACTGCTTTTATAAGTCAGATGGGAAGCCTCAGTAAACTCAGCAGATTTTTTTAGCTGTGAATTTGTCTGAAGCTTGTACCTGAGGGATATATAGACTATAAACCTCTGGTGGTGGTGGTCGTGGTGGGGAATGTTGATTAAACATAATTTAGAACAAGTGCTAAAAAGGAGGGATAAAGAACAGGCACTGCCTGCAATAAAGTTCTCCAAATGGTGAGATTGGTGTTGCCAAACCAGAACACAGCATTTAGCACTGAAAAAAAAAGGTGCTGTCACCATAGCTACTTCATTCTCTAAGGTTGTAGCTGAGTGATGCGTGGAGGATGTTAGACTTACTGGTGCTTTATTGATATTCCAGTCACTGCCATTTGAGATGAGGAAAAGATCTCCAGTGCCAAAGCCTTTGGTCTAGCTGTGAACAAATTTCCCTCTTACTTGCATTAGTGTTATTATTAGTGGAGCCACATGAATATAAAGCAATAGAGAGGATACAGTGCACTTATTTCTACTCACAGATTAGAGAGGAATAGGAAATTGGAATAAACTGGACTTTCAGAGGTTTGCCATGCAGTTAAGTTTGGGGGTATTTATACAAACAGGTGGACACATGAATAAATGAGAAGCTTTGAGATTGTTGACAGTATCCTGCTGTTGAGTGAGTGATCACTGAGTGTACATCTAGGTTTCTGTACCTGAATCGTATCTCTGAATCACTCTATGCCAGCAGATGAAAATCTGGCCTTACAATGGAAGTCTCAAATACAGAAGCCTGAAGTAAGGTACAGAAGTGAATGCTCAGTCACTCCAAGCAGTGGGGAGTTTGAGAAATACACACTGAGCAGTTTTCAAAGCGGGCCATTCATGGGGTTAGATATGGGGTTTAAATTTTGAGAGTATTTGACATGTCTAATATACTTACCAATGACAAAATTATAGTATTAGATTAAAAGTTAATGTAGAATTAATAATTCTTGCAGAGTTCAGCATTCCAGAGATAGCATTACAGATTTTCCTGTTCTTCTGACACATACACGTGCATACCCACACACAAGACACTCTCTTGATTCTGTTTTCCAAACTTTGTTTCAATTGTTAAATTATCTAATAATGTTTTTTCTGACTGAAGGCAAGATCAAGAAGTAAATATAGTGTAATTACTTCTCTGTAAATAAATAATAATGTCTGAGCGCCTCAGTCAGAGACCAGATTGTTATTATGTAGGCCTTTAAAAAAGCTAATTTATGAATAATGGATATCATGATAAATAAACCTTAGTTACTAGGTTCTGCAGATCTGAGTTAATAGAAAGACCATATACAACGTGCCTCTGTACCTGCAGCTGGTGTATTGTAACACCCTTTCGCTTCTGTCTTCTTCTAATCCAGTGGATTTTGTACATAAGCTAAGATTGGGAACCAGGTTTTCTTAAATAAATTTTGGTCATGCAGCAGATAGGAAAAAAAAAACACCAAAAGCCTTTGTGGCTCCTAAGCAGACCCCTTCTTTCCCCTTTGTTCAGAATTTGGTCACTTCCTCCTGCCTTTGGGTTTTTTTCCCTGACTTCTCAGTTACTTTGCGTGGGGAACATAAGAACTGGCAACAGAGAATGTGCAGAACTCTTTGTGTGGATACAATTGCAGTGGCAATTACGGTTACAGTGCCAATAAATTGCTACTCACATACAGTGCTTTCCACTTCACTCGAAAAACACACCGGCCCCTGCAGCTGAATTTATTTCTTTAGCTCAGTGTCAGTGATTTATTTTTTAATTTATCATGTACTTGTTAACTTACTGCTGTGTTGTTGAAGAGACGAGGTCAGCGTCACCTGAACAACAGCACCCTCCCCATCTGTCCTCGCTGGCTTTGTCACCCTACTGCTGCCTGACATTGCTATCTGAGGAAAGCCATGGGAATGCAGGGGGGAAAAAGTCAATTGGTGGGTGAATCTAAACTTAATTTTCAACACAGGACACGTGTTAGGAAACACAGTGCAACAGAAATAATTGCTTGTCTTGAATCACGGGGAGGAATGAATTTTAGGAGGCCTAATTGGGATTGCTTCAAATAAGCAAAGGGCGTTGTTCTTTCCCTCTACCTCAGGAGGGTAAGTGGAAAACTGCTGTCACAGTTAAATGCACTTCCAAAATGTAAAGCAGACTTATTTCCAAAACAATGACACTGTGGATAACTTTGTTATTTATAAAAGTGCAGTATCTTACAAGAATCAAGAATGCTGTCTTTCTCAGTCTGTTAGAACCACAGAACTATAAAACAGAATCGGGAGGTACCTCCTGAGTTTTGTGCAACAAAAACTGCTGTTGACTTCATCACTTGAGATCAACAGGCATTTTCCCAAAAGCATCTTGCACAAGGGACTCAGGATTTGGCTGACATTAATTGTCCATCAGATTATGTATGCTCTTTCACTTTCTGCATGTAATGTAAATTTCTGCTCGATAGACCCCATCCCCAGTAGGGAGCAGAGCGCTACCCCAGGGGGAGTTTCACCAGAGGCACGGCCTCCTGATGTTACATCTGCTCCTACGTACCTTACAGGGCTTCCTCAGCTCCCCAGTTCAGCTGACTGGCTGCAGATCTGGGTGGAGCCAGGGAAATGTTTATTTTTCTGTTGTGAGTAATGCTGTTCTGGTGACTGCTCTTTTTTAAGTCCTTGGCATTTTGTCTCCTGTATCATAACACGCTGAAGAGTTTCCTGCAGGCAACTTTTTCACACCTTGGGCTTCCTACAATTTCTCTCATTATGTTCTTCATCTCTTTCTCCATTGTGTATCTCGATGCTAAAAGGATGTCCTCGGTCTTGATTCAGCACCCCTGAACATCATCTGTTTCCTCCTGGAAGTTGTTTATGAAGATAAAATCATATTTAAAAAAAAATAAAAATCTTCCAGTGTTCTGCTGCTCTGTGCACTCAAACAGCGTCCTCCCAGCAGTCCTCAGTCCATACTTGCCTTGTATCACAATATTTTAAGCTTTTAGTTGCACAAAATATATCAGAATCTTCACATGACTTTTTTTTTTCCCCCTGATGTATATGTGATTCGGGAGAATATACATGATGTATGAAAAGGATATCATTAATATGCAGTGTAGTCACTTTGGGGGGAGGAGGAAATGTGATCTGTGTAAATCCTTCACATCTTTTTTTAGTTTAAAAATTTCACATCATTCATAACTTCATTTCCAAATGCTTTACTATTTAATTATTTCCATATGCCACATACAACTTTCTGAAGCTTTTCCGTAGACATTACCTAATTCATTTTAAAATCATCTTGGAGACATTGAGCTGAATTGTTCTACATGCATCATTTATAAATATATTTGCTGTGAGCTTTCTTTTCTTTTTTTTTATTCATCTGATCAGCTCATTATCTTTTTTTTTTTTTTTACTTTTCTACCAGAATAAATGTTACCTTATACAGCACTGAGAATAGGCTTCTGAGGTAAAGATGAAAAATAAAGTTACCAATACTAAAGCAGATCCCACTGCTGTTGCTGTTGGAAGTATCCTGCTGAAAACTCTGTGTCTTCTTCTGGTGATTAATTTGAGGATTGATGATTCTGTCTTTGCAGACTGTAACAGAGAAGCACAAGCTAAATGTCCCCGAGACAATGACTGAGGTCCTGGATGTTTCAGATGAAGAAGGTGAGCAACTTAGCAGAGTTCCTGTTCCATATCACATACGTGACCTGTAATACAGGCCCCAGATAGCTGCTTAAGTACTTTGGCTTTTTCATTTCACAGTGCTTGCAATGAAGTTCCATGTAATGGCCTTTTTTTAATGATCTAGTCATTATGGCATTTGAATAAAGATGCCAAAAGTTGACCCAAACCAAAATCCTGGACCCCTACATCTGTTTCAGAAAAAAAGCTTATCTGAACCAAATCAACACGTGAGAACATTTCCTGGCTTCAGATTTTCAAATTTAAACGTAGAGTTGTCCCAGATCTGGGTTTGACCCTCCCATAAAGAGGAATTTGAGCAGTACATTTTTTTGGATGAGTGCCACCTATTTCAGATACATATATCTAGAAGTTCTGCCTAATTGGAAACATTTGTGTAAGAAGATGCATAAGGTGGAAGGTGAGGAGACAGTTCCCTTGAGGGAGCTTTTTGGCACACGCGAATCACAGATACATACAGGGTGACCTGAAGCAACAACGTGCTAAGAAGTTTGGCACTTTGGTTTCAGGGTCTGTTGTGTTTATGGACAGGAGGCATCTGTTGTGCCATTTAGCCAAGTCCCAAGAAAATTTCTGTGACCTTCTGGAGGGATTCCTAAAGTACTGCGGTTTTATACAGCACAGGATTAAGGAATAGCTTAAAAATAACCCTTTCCAAAAGTTCACCAGTGACTTGTTACAGATTTTATCCACAGCGGCATCTGAGAAATAAACACACATTTGCAAGAATTTTCTCAGTTCTTTTTCACTCCTGGCAGTGTTAATTAATATTGCAGTATCTTATCTGTGCCATTTAATGGTTATTATTATTTCATGCAAATAATTTGTAGAGTGACAATTTCAAAAAGGAACACAGGTTACAGGGCTGGGTTTTTTCCTTTTACAAAGAACACAAATGCACTTGTGGCTCTGAATGGTGCTGGAAGTTACTGGCATTCATGTTCCTCAACTGCTTGTATTACTTGTTGAAATGGGATTTGTGCTGATAAGTGAGTTACACTCTTGAGAAAAACATGATGTTTAGGTTCCAGATACTACTTTTTATTTTTTTAATGTAAAGCTGCAAGCGAAAGCAGATAAGTGTGATTTAAAAGAAATTGTTTTCTGCTGCATCATGATCACTGAAATAATTTATCTTGGGCATGTTTTTGCTACATTTTCTCTGTTTAAGAAACATTCAACTACTTGTGTAATTACTGTGATAAATGGCTTTTAAATTGTTTATAACATTATGTTCCCTTTGTTGAATTTTTGCCCAATCTTTTGAACTACCATTTAACCACCTTTAAATCCGCAAAGCCTAGTGTACCCTTCTGCTTCTCCAGGATTAACACAGGGTATTCCTTTTTCTGAAACCAATTTGTATGTTGTACAGCCTTCAAACACTCTGATGATGAACGCTTCAGTGATGGTGAAGCATATAGTGGCCCAGGTGCTGTTAGCAGAAGTTCCTGGAGTAAGACTTACAAACCTTCTCTTTTTGTTTAACTGAGATTGTTTGTTGTATTTTTTTTTGTGTTGAAGCAACATGAATTTGCATAATCTGGGTGCCTAACACTGCTCCTTTCCCTCACTTTTGAAGTGTGGTTGGGTGTGTGTTTCCTGAAAGGTGGGAGGAGGAGGGGAAGCCAGAAAATCCCAAGATTTATTACCTGTATTTGAATATGTTGGCAGAACTTTCTGTGGCCATCCAGCATGACTAACACTCTCCCGTGCTTTGAATTAACGTTCTCTGCTGTTACCATCTGACACCTGTTGTTTGTCAGTCGCTGGCAGGTAGGACGTAGGTGCTCTGGCACGTTGCTGCTGCAGGCTCAGAGCTGAGCACTCCTTCTGATGGTGCCTCTGTGATGCTGCTGCAGGTTGCTAAGCAGGTTGCTCACAGTTAAAGCACTTCACGCCGTTGTCCTTGTAAAATCTGTTTCTACCGGCAAAACACTCAGGATGTTGCGAAAATTCTTAGCACGGATGGTACTTGTCACAGGGACATAAAAGAGCTGGGGGCAGGAAGACTGCAGAACTTTTTTAATGAAGAGGATGAACCTGTAAGTGATGGCGTAGTCTTTAGAAGAGGCTAGCGGTGAGTTTTCTGTCATGCTGTGGTTTTAGCTGCTATGAAGTGACAGAGTGTGTTCTGAAATAAATTCCCGTGAGGCGGTAAAGCTGCAAGCTGTGATGACATCGTTCTGAAGTTGAACATAAGTACTTGAGCAAGTAAGTAGTTCAGGTCTGGTTGTGGAGCTTGTTCATCACTGGTGATAAGTATTTTGCTTGGGAAGCAGTTACAGTGCATAATTGTGTGTCCACCAGCACTTTGTTGACCAGAGGCAAAAGCTTTGCCTCAAGTTTTGGAGATTCCAGACCTTGGGGTTCCTACACTAACTCTCACCAAGCAAGGAAATATGTAAAGAGCAGCTAAAACATTTCAACTGGTGCAGAATGCAGATGGCTTGCATTTCCTTAGCTCTCAAGAAAGGCTGAAGATTCTCCTGTATTTAAGGGTGTTCTCATATCTTGTAGCCATAAAATGGTTCAAAAAGCAAATAACAAGCGCTCAAGTACAGAGAGGGAGAAACAAGCACCGAAAACAATGAATTTATCAGAAAATTAAGTGTGGGTAAAAAAAACCCCAACAAAAAAGAAGAGTTTGCATATGCTGTGCTACAGTGGTCATTGCCAACTCACATGTTAGAGTTAAATTAACATGGATGTGAAATGCCAGGATACAGATAAAGAATAGACCATGCTGTGAAATCCCAAGAGCAAATTCTGTTTAGCACACACAACATCCAATACTGTGCTGCAGTGTTTTGCTTTCTGTTCCATCTGATCTAAACCTGTCTTTAAAACTACTGGATATTATTCCTACTCATGATTAAGAAGAACTGGTTGCTCTTACACTTATATTAATTAGCTAAAGATTTTATGGCTGTTGACAGTACTTAGAGGTATTTTGTATTTCAGTGAGCTCTCCCAGCCAGAGGAGCATTACCCATTCTATGGGCAGCAGGCATCTGGCTATTGTTCCTGTCAAAGATGACTTGTGTGTCAGTACATAACATTTTAGACATATTTTTAGAAGTGCTACATAGAATAGCAGTACTTGCCCTGTGAGTTTCACAAAGGTATAATTAGTAAATGCTTTGTATCCTTGGGAAGAAGGAAGATACTTTTTCAACCCTCTTTTCACTTGAATGCGTGCAGAGTCTCCTTGGTCAGCAGGTTTGTTGGGAGTCACAGATAGGTGTACTAGAACAAACTTTACTTCATTAGTGCCCAGGGTATTTCGTATTGGGATGAAATTGCCTATTTCATGGGAAATATTTACTCGATTTAGGGTGAATTTTCCTCTTCCCTGAGAAGAAAACAGTGTTCTGATGGAACAAAAAGCTAATGAGTTCTCCGTTGCTTCCCCCAGCATGTTCTGGTCCCGTTGTGAAACGGCAGTGCTTTTATTCTTTGTTACCTAGATCCCCCGTAGCAATTTTATAAATACCATAGTGGTGAAATACTGGAATTCGTTTTGAAGCAGCTTAATTTGCAAGAAAACAAAATCAAGGCGCTTTCCCCTCCCTGCAGATCCTGGAGGGTAAACACACAGGTGTTTTCCTTTCCATGTGCTTCACCTTCTGTCTTTCTGGAAGTGCTGCATCGAGCTGCTAATAGCTGACACGATGATTCATGTGAAGTCATGTATCAGTGCATGAAACTGTGCACGAAACCATACCTGAAACCCTACTTTCCTGACTGGCTACAAATAAAGACATTTGAAGTGTTAACCAAACTGTAATTCAGGGAAACTTCTAGTGAGGGGGGGGCATTAAACAAAGGATTGATTGAAGGTCAATAGAGGATTGACCGAGGGAACTGAAGGTGTCCAACGAAAGTGTCAGAGAAATTCTACGTTCCTTTAAAGATGCTTCAGGACTTAGATATTCCACAAACATTTGTGCTTGCCATAGCTGTCCCTTCTCCATCTGTTATTTTTAAGGAGCAGCCCTTATGTGGGGAGCTGTAGAGTTATCTGCATACTGCAGAGAAAACAATGATTTTGGCTAACTCGTGTAACTGTGTCTGGCTTTAAAAACCTTTATTAAAAGCAATTTCTGGTGGTTCTATCACAACCCTCTTTCCTTCCCTCTTTCCTTCCCTCTTTCCTTCCCTCTTTCCTTCCCTCTTTCCTTCCCTCTTTCCTTCCCTCTTTCCTTCCCTCTTTCCTTCCCTCTTTCCTTCCCTCTTTTCTCCCTTCTTCCCTTCCTTCTTCCCTTCCTTCTTTCTTAATTTTGCCTCTACTTGTGCTGTGTTTTCTGACAGACAATCCCAGAACCCTTCTCATACAGCAGCTGTATTTTGCAGTTCACTTTCCATAGCAGGAGAACTCTAGGAATGGTAGGAACTGCCTTTGTTGAAGCTTCCCTAAACAAGTTAACTCTGTAGATGCATATCCAGAATGGTGTGGGGAAAATATTACAACTGCTTACTTCATCAAACATTTGCATAGCTCCCTGATATCAGAGGATAATTCCTGGGAAAAAAAACCAAACCAAAAAACTAGTCTGTTTTAGAAACATTGAAGAAACACTTCTCCCGTGAGCCAATACTGATGTGCTAAGCTGAGAATTGCGTGTGTCTGGGTGCCTCAAAGCTACTGTCTTGTAAATGCTGCTTTGATTTCAGAGTGGTTCATTGTTGCTTGATTTAATCAGTTGTGTAGGCAGGACATACCTCTCCCTTTTGTAGAGTTTAAGAAGACTGCAGAGTACAGCAATATTCAGCATGGGTCTCCAGTTTCAGTGTGTTTGTGTTCAGCCAGACTGTCACTGAAGGAGCAGATTTGTGGTCTCAGCATGTGGCCTGTTCCTCTTAGTAGTCCATTCAGTGATTTATAATGCTCCAAACCTGTGTTCAAACATGTGAAATCACCAGCATCAAAGCTAGCTTTTCATTTTCTCTGTGCTACTTGGTTAGGGTAAGGCAAATATTTACTGTCCGAGTGGCCAGGTGCTTCCCTTCCTGCTAACAGGCATCTCAGAAAGCAGCAATTGAGATCCATTGCTATATTTGCATATTATGGGTTCGTGATACACAGAAATAATATGTGGTCAGCATAAAATGTTAAAAAAAAGTGGAGCAGACCAGTAAGAGATGTCATATAAATATTGCTGACTTGAGCATAAAGTTAATTACTTGTGGGGTTTTGTAAGTTGATTGGTTGGCTCTGTTTTAATGTGGACTTTGAAAACCGCTCTGTATGGCTTCGAGAGGGACTGGCAATGGAGTTTCCTCTTGCTCCCCACTCTAGGCAAACAGCAAAAACTCCAGGCATTGGAAAAGACAGTAGGGAAGGTTCAAAAAAACTTTGTCTGTTTTTTTCCTGACTGACTGACTGTGCCATCCCGGGATAAGTGCAGCACTGACCGCTCCTCGTCGGCTGAACTGCGTGCTTCCTGCCTCGCCGTTGTGCCAGGCTCTGTCAGAGCCCCGTGAAGCTCTGCGGGGTGATGCCAGTGCTGCTGTTGTAATTCCATTTCTGTGCCAGCAGCTCCTGAAGGTTCAGGGTCTCGTGAGTCAGTGAGAATAGCTGTTTGGTTTTTCTGGAGTGCCTCTAGAGCACAAACCAGCAGGGTGGGAGAGTTCCCCGGCTGGTGCCACCTGTGTTGCACATCAGGGTGCGGAGCTGCGCGGGGATGCCAGCTCGGGCCAGCTGCCTGGCACTGCTGGTGCCTTTGCACAGCTCTGCAGTCGGGTACATGTGAATTCACCAGCCCAAGTCTCCCCTCAGTCTCCTCCAAGCTAAAGAGCCCCAGCTCCCTCAGCCTTTCCTCAGCAGGGAGATGCTCCACTCCCTTCATCATCTTGGTGGCTCTACGCTGGACTCTCTCCAGCAGTTCCCTGTCCTTCCTGAACTGTGGGGCCCAGAACTGGACACAATATTCCAGATGTGGCCTCACCAGGGCTTGTTACACAGACTCCAAATAATTCCCTTTGCGTATGTGCAGTTGCCCTGCAGAGCAGGAATTAAAGTGAGTGGGGAAATCCCAGTTGTATGAAATGTTATGTTGCTACACAAGCATTTAGACTTAAATAAACACATATTTTTTTTTTTCCCTTCCTATACAAGAAGGTGCTAGTTGCTTTGGGAGTTCATCTCATTAAGGAAAAACAGAAGGGCACCAGGGGCTGGCGAGGAGTGACTTGACCTTGTAGTTCAGCCGCTCAGGACTGGTGTGTTAGGAAGTGAGCTGTGTTACCAGCAGAGCCCTGCTCTGAAGCCGTGGTAGGAACAGTAACGACTGTCCCTACCCACGGCTGTTCATGGACAGCCTAGTTACTGCTTGCAGATGTTCCCTCACATCAAACAGCCAGTGTTCCTCAGACCCGGCTCTGACAACGCTCAGATGAGAGGCCAAAGCTGAAATAAGAGGAGAGTTTGGCTTTATTTATTTATTTTCTTTGAAAGGATGTGGCTGTGATGAAAGTGGTGAAGATTATGCCTTTGTTGCATGGAATGTCTGGCGTGATTATAAGTATCTAGCTTGTTTGAAATATAACTTGAAATTCTTTTTACTGTTTGATTAACAGCGTTGCCTTAATATCTTCCAAGTTTTCACTAAGCCCCATGCTTTATAATGTGACATTCCCAGGAAGCAGGAGGCATCAGCTGTCAGAAGACAGGAAACAGGCGATGATTAAATGCATTTTATTGTTTTCTGTGAAACTGTGCCCAGTTTCTCCCTCTTAATGTGGGCAGATGGAAATTTCAAGAGCTTTTGTTGTTACACTGAAAAGATTTAGGTCTCATTTTTACGTGTGTACCACAAGTCTTAAAACCCCCAAAGGTGACTTAGTTTTAGATGACAAATTATCAATTATTTATTTATATAGCTGAAACATCAAGCTAGAAAAAACTAGTTTGATTTGTTTAATGAAAACAAAACTAAAGATTTCTTCCTTTGGCAGTGAGCACCACTCCTATGGCTTGTCATACCAGTACCACTGTGCAGGGAGGAGGAAGATGCTCTACCAGACATAGCAGCAGTAACAATAATTGGGTTTTTTGCAGTTTTGTTTTATTAAGGCTTTAAAACACCCAAGTGGCAGCTGTCCTGGTGCCCAAATAAATGAATTCTGTTTGAAATAGCGTGGGTACCACGTAGCTGGCCTTTACAGTCCTTTGTGTTTCTTGGTATTTCGGGGGGAATTACTGCAGCTGGAGCACGTAACCCCTGAAGACCCTTCCCCTCTACTTCATGTAACTGGACTTGAGGTTCTTCACATTTGCCCATGCCGCTTAGAAAATGAGAAGGTTTGAAGATTTGGCAGCCTAGGGTCACGTTGTGCGGTTCTGTGGGTCACACCAAGCCTCTGGCAGACTGTTAAGTAGTAATTAACCATCGGGAAAACGATGGAATTCTCCAGGCAGAAACTGTGGAGAGAAACCGTGTTGCAAATGGGAATGAAAAGAAACATCTCCAAAGTAATCTGTTTGGTTAGTCTGCTGGGGGAAAGCAAACTGACTTCATATCAACAGAATTTCCTGGGGAAAATCATTTTGGACTTGAAAAAAAAGTTAAACCCTGTTACTCAGAATCTATGCAAAAAGGTTCCTCTGTCAGATAACCAGTGATCATTTAGGCTTCGATTCGTTAGGAATTACTTTTCTGATTAATGATCGTGACCATCTGTGCATGTGAGCTTATTTCCAGTTTCTGGATATTGCCGTGTTTTAGAAATAAGAGTTTTTTTGCTGATCACAGAAGGAGGTTGGAACACAGGTGAGACAGCCTCATGTGATAGGGAGTCTGGACAAAGGAGAGTTGAAATTAGGATTTGCACCTGTCAGGCACAAGGCCACAGAAAACACCTTTTCAGCTGAAAACACGTAGCTTACAGTCAAGTAAATGGTTATATTTGATCATAGACTGTCAGGCTGTGATACCAGAGAGCTAAAACGGGTAGAGGAACAGAGAGAGCATGCTTTAGAGAGCAGCAAAGAAATTTGTCCCTTACCACTATGTGCAACAGCAAAAATTAGATTAAATCTAATTGATTAATCACTTTGATTTCTTTTATTTTTTTTCTTTTCAAGTCTTGCTTGATGTGGCATTTTCATTAAATACTTTTAATTGCTTGTGGTTTGCAGTGTTTCCCGAGTGGAAAATGCCTTCCTGATGATTGTGCCATTCAGCTGTTAGATCCCAACATGTAAATGAAATCCAGCTTGTGTGTGCGCTTATCTCTGTCCCTTCTCTGGTTGGTTTCAAGGTGATGACACAATGACAGGAGATGGAGGAGAGTACCTTAGGCCAGAAGACCTCAGAGAACTGGGAGATGACTCTTTACCAAGCAGCCAGTTCTTAGATGGTATGAACTACCTAAGGTACAGCCTGGAAGGAGGACGATCTGACAGGTATTTCCCTGGACACGTTATCTTTTCTTATGGTAACTGTGCACACGTTTTGTTATAATTGTTTGACATCACTTTTTCAGAGTCTCATTAACTCAAGGGAGACGTGGGATGCACTTGTCAACGTTTCTTTTTTAGGCATGTCATTGTGGCACTTTGTAGGAAGAAGGTATGGTCAGGAGGAATATTTCCTGCCCAGTCCAGAAATGAAGACGACATTTGGCACTAATGCTGTAGTCAGAGTCTAGTGAAGGATTTGTGATTCTTACTTGGTTCTTGAAAAAGAAAAGAAAAACAAAACCAAAGCACAGCTTGCTTTATTGTCTTTGTGGCCAGGCACGGGAAGAAGAGTCTACCTGGCTTATGAATCATCCCCATCCCCTCTTGTCCTGAGACAGGGGATGGGTGGCAAGGTGGACAGGGTGTTGTAGCATTAGGTGAGCTGGTTATTAGAGTAGTTTGCTGGCTATAGATAGAAGGAAAGGAGCCATGGACTTTGTCATTCTACATGGGATTGGCAGGGAGTATACGGTCAGCAAGCACATTGATTCATTTTGTGTCATCATGGTTGAAGTGGCAGGAAAGAGAATGGTTTGCCTTTTACTGGCACCGCACAGTATTTATGTTGTAAATACATTTTTCAAAGAATTAGAAAAAAGAATATGTGTTCAGTCCAGAAAACTTACTGATCTGCTTGTACCGAACAAGCTGAACTTCAGCCTGGACGTATTGGTGGAATAATGATGCCTGTAGCTTTAATTTATTGAATTTTTTTTTAAGAATGTCACTATAGTCTGCAAAAAAGAGAGCGTTCTCTTTTCAGAATGAGAGCCTTTATTAGTGAGTGTCAGTGTAGACTCAGACTGGCAGATCAGCGCCCACAGTTCTCATTTAGAATAGGCTGCCCAGTCATCCCTGTTTGAAAATGACAGTTCACTGTAAATCAGTAATGTCTCCAGACTTACTGCCTTTAGAATTGGGGTTCACTAAAGGGGGGGGGGAAAGTTAAAAAAAAAAAGTTGAGATCTTGGCAACAGAAGGAATTTTTAATCCACCTCATTTTCCAGCCTTGATTGTAATTCTGGCAGCATTTCTGAAGCTCAGTGAAATCAGTAGGATCCGTTCTGGTTACTTCAGTGGGCTAGGAATTGCTGCTGGGACAAAAGATGTCCGGAAGCAGTTGGGTTTGCCTCACAGCATGTGTAAATCCCGCGTCATTCAGGTCTTAGAAGCTTGGAGTTTTTGTTGATTTTTAGAGGGCTTTAGTGAAGCCACTGAAAGTGACTGTGTGGCTTTTTAAGCTGGGGAGGATGTTGCTGAACTACATCAGAAAGCTTTAAAATTCAAACCTTTTATCATGAGTTTTCAATGCTAACAAAGTTTTTATTTTATTATTTTTTTTAATTCTAAGATGTTGTACAGAAGTGGTCGGGTAGGGAAGTGTTAAGCCAGTTTCTGCTCCCGTTTAGAACATTTTAGCTGTTAAATACTGTCAGTGGCTTTCAGCAGATTTTCACAGGCATGTAATTGATGTTTTATTTTGTGTTGTATGAAAGTTATTTCACATCCTGTATCAAGCATGACTCTATTGAAAGGAAGAAAACTTACAAAGGGAGAAAGAATGAAAGAAAAAAGTACATCTTTCGAAATCCATGGTCTCATTTTCTGTCACTCTCAGGTTACTGGTTGTAAGAATATTCACAGAGACTGCTTAAATTATTTTGCTTTTGCTTCAATATAATTGTCATTGCATTATACTGGCTTTGGTTTTTCAAGAAATTCAGTAAAGCAAAATAGTATAAACAGTCTAGACCCATGTGATTTTACGCATTAAAAAATTTGATTTAAAAACATATCTCTTTCTTTTGTAACCATCTCCCCTGTTTATTTTATTTCTCTCTCCCCTTCATTCGTTTCCGTACGCTTTCATTAGCACCATGCCCAGGTAGGTACTACGTGGCATGACAACATCTTGTCTCTATGTGCTTTTATGGCACCTGTCTGTGTTCATCCATTTTGGAGGCCTGCTGTGTGCTGGGAAGTCGATGTGGAGAACCAGATGAACAATGCTGCTGTTGGAGATAGTCACAGTCTCCAACGAGGGTGATAGGTAGTGGTGAATGCTGATCCAACAATACTCTTGTCTAGAAAGGTCACGCTGTGACAGGCTTTCAGTCTTTATTTAAATAGAGAAATGTTTTCAAGGCTGATTTATAGTTTTCAGTCATACCAGGTTCTTTTCCCAGCTTCTGAACCAACATACACTTCCCACAACAAGGGATACACTCAGTGGGACTAGAAATGGCTAGAGCTCTGTCTAGGCTGGCAAGTGAATGTGTACTGCTCCATGGCCTCCCAGTCATCCAGACTGGAAACTTGGCTAGAGCACGCTGCTCTGATTTCCTGGGTCCCACCTGGGCCTCATTCATGGCTCAGAAGAGGCGGGTGATACAGGCCTGTGCATCACCCAGCACACTCTGATGTTCAGGAGCTTTGTGGCATCCCTGGGTTCCACAGTTCAGTCTCGGGCCAAGTAGATGCTATTGACCCCACAGCCCTGTGACTTGGAAAGAATCTGTATTTAGACATTAGTTTTGCCTCTGCAATTTAGGGTTGTTTTTAAAAAAACCAACAAAACCAAAACAGGGTTCCTGAAGAATTATTACAATAGTAATAAGTTTTGTTCAGTGCCTGTACCGTTCTGTAACTGCAGTGCCGTTTCAGTCAGTACCTTTATCTCCAAGTCTCATAAGCCCAGGCCTTGTAACTGCTACTGGCTTTTTGCTCTTCATGGAGCTGGTAGAGCACACAGAAGAGGGGCAGTGCCACCTGAACACTAGTTTGGAAATGAAGTGTAGTAGGAAATTGAAACTTCTAATTTACTGCAGACCTTAGTCATGCTTGTGCACACCTTGCCTATAGATAAAGTCTATACCCTTGATGTATTTATACACTGAGGATATTTACTGGAGCTTACATCCAGGTACTCTACATAGTGGGTATGTGCTGGGCTGCTTGTAGTGGTGGTAGTAGCAGCGCCAGGTACTTGCAGGAGAACATGAACCAAATCACCACAGAGATAACCAGTCAGATCTAGTACACACCTCCTCTCATTCCATATCTGTCCAGGACATGACACTAGCTGAATAGCAGAACCTACAGCTTGGATGGTGAACCTTGTGCAAGCATTGCATGGCGCAGCAAAGCAGCTCTGCAAGTGTCAAACATTGAGATGAATAAAGGATAATGATGGCAAAAGGGTTCTGCTACTGAGGCTTATTTTTTGACCAAAGAACAAATGTCCACTGAAGTACCGTTGTTATGAACAAGCAAGGTCTACTCTGCCTTCCCAGTTCACCCCAAAACATTTAACCAAAATACTCTTCAGTCAAGATTCCCTTTCATTTTTATTTTTTTTCCCTGAAATGTTATTTGTAGACAGTTAGGGGGAACTTCTGTCCCTGCTGAAATTTTGTTGGTTGTTTTAATGGGATGAGAATTTCATTCCAGAAATGCACAATTCCATTAAAACCAGCCTTACATGTCTCGCCTCTTCCACTTGTCTAGGTGGAAGACATTTCATGACATGTAAGAGAGACTTGTTCTTGTTGGTTTGGTTTTTTTCTCTCAAGACTTTCCTAAGGCTCATGTTTGTGTAGTACCTGGTTTTGGTGTCCAGTCCATCTTGTATGCGAAGCAGGCCATTGGTATAAGTCAGTGGTCAATAGACTTGATTTTTCTTTGATGTCATATATTTCTAATAAACATGGGATAACCATTTGCTTCAAAAAATGGATCAAAAAAAATAGAGTGAATGTAGCTGTTATAAAAAAGGCTGACTGGTCTGAATCAGTTGGTAAAATATGATTTCCAACAAGATCTGCATTTCAAGCACTCGAATCTCGTGTCCATAATGTACACATGACAATTTATTGCTAACTGCTGAAAATTTAATTATGCCTTAAAAAATCTGCGTATCTAGATAAATGGCCTATTGTTCTGATCCAGTGTGTTAGTCACTGTGAGTACTACTCATGGATGTGTGAGCCACGAAAACAAAACTGGCTTCAGTTACACGGATTCTATCCCTGAAAATACTGAACGACATCGCAGAGCACACGTACGTCATCTGACAGTGGCTGATCTGTTCTTAAAAATCACTGTTGTAATACTGCTGCTAGGAAATATTTAAAGGACAAAACTAGTGCTGTTTGGTAGCAGAAACCCCGTTTACCTCCATGTGTCCTTCTGTGGTGGCTTATTTGATTTCCTTGGCTTTTGCTAGCGGGTGCTGCCGGTTCGTTCTGAGCCAGTGCTTGGAAGCAGCTTCTTTACTGTCTTGTGTCTCCCATTGCTACAGCAGCCAGTGTTCTGTGGTGCAGAGAAAGCAACGTTCATGTTTGCACTGCCTCTCTGGAGATGCTGTTGGCATCCAGAGGCAGAGTTGTGTTTCACACAGCAGCTTGCGGCTGGCCACAATTCACCTTGCTGTGTGTACCTTCCAGGGGACAATGTCCAGCTTCCTTATTTACAGGTTTAAGAGGAGAGAGTAAATCAGAAGAAAGTATCAGAACGAGTCATTTCAGCTTTTCTTCAGATGTTAGCATTCTGGTTTTCCTTAGGGGTTTGCTTGTGTGACATAGCAGGAGAGAGAGCTTCTCCAAAGAGCCTTACTTAAAATAAATTCTTATAAGAAAGAAGGAAATTCATGCTCTTTCTATCACACCACAAAGCCAAGTATAAAGTATTTGTAAATATAAAATAAACTGTCATCTAGATGAATCCCTAGGTTCTGCATTTGGAAGGAAATAAGTTGGTCAGAAGGCTTTGTGGCCCTTAGAAAGGCAGCACAGCACAGCTTTGTAAAGCCCTGTTTTCCCCCCCGTGACTATTATCTGCTCCCCCTGGAAGCTACATCATCTTGCTAATAGCACGCTTTTTTCATTCTCCCACTCGATCTATCATGCCACCTTTCCAACATCATCTGTACTGCTGATACATTGCTATGGCACCCTACCAACCTGCCAGCCTGCGATCCTTCAGTTCAGACAGGTCCCACACGCTGAGCCATGCCTCCTACCTGAGGGACAGCGCCATGATCGACGAGACGGTCGTGATCCCCAGCCAGCAGGTAAGCACATTCTCTTTACGTTGGATAAATACAGAAATAGAGAAAGATTACAGTTTCAGTTGTGCTGATGAGACCGTGTGGTATATGCTGCTTTGTTTATTTTAATATAAATCTCTCTGATTTCCGTTGATATTTAATGGCACATTATGCTGTGCAATATTAACCTCTATTCCAAAAGAACTGGATAAGCTGTGTGCATGTAATACAGGGACTGTTCTTATAATGTTCTTCATTTTAACTGATTTTTGAATTATGCTAACTGCCATTGGGCTAAATAATCAGGGGATCTAATGAACTCAAGGCCATTGTCCTCAAAGATCCTATCTTGATAGTTAAAAAAGCAACCAACCAACCAACCAAAAGATTTAGGAACTGCCACTTTGGTAAATCACAACATTCGTTCCAGTGGGACCACTTTGAGCAAGTATAAAATGTTACAGTAAGGGGTTTCTAATACCTTAATGCTATTATTACTCCTTTGTTTTCTTTTTGAAAAAAAAATTTTAAAGACTTTAGGCACTGCTGTGTAAGATACATCTTCTTGTTGTTTCGTTGATGAATTCATTTTATTGTAGTAAAAAGGAGGGTTTTTTGCTTACCAAGGTAACAACTCTGGCCAAAGAAGCTGAAAGGAATTCCTATCGCTTAAGCTGGGGCCCTGAAAACTTGGACAATGTGGCTCTTTCTTCCAGCCCTATTCATTCAGGGTGAGTGTATCAATTAGCATTACGCTAAAAAAACTGAAACAGAATACCTGCAGTGGCAGCAGCTTCAACTAATGCTTCACTAGGAGTTCCATTTTAATTCATTGCTTCCTAGAGCTGTAAATTGGTTTGGTCTGTTAAGCTCTGACAGTCAGGCAAGGCTGAGTACCACGACTATCCACTGCAGTCGCTGCGAGTCAGTGAGCCTCCAGTCAAGTTCAAGAGGAGTGATTGACACGAACACGCATGCATTTGTGTGAATTTTGTGGAGAAGGAAATACAGTGCCTTTTAAAAGTTAGTAATAATTGAGACCAAGGGCCCAATCACTCCACATTAAAAGTACCTCCTGTGCTAGTGAAGTAGCTTAGGCAAGTGTCAACTCTAGTGTTTGTCATGATGACTAAAAAAAGCAAGCAAGGATTTAATATGACACGCACAGTGTAACAGACAAGCAACCTAAACGTCGTGTGCTTTGTGCATATTTGGCCACTGCGTCCCTGTATTCTTACCACTGACTCTTTGTAAGTATTCACATCTAGGCAAGATCATTGAAATGGAGTAACACAGGTCAGAATGCAGGCCCAGCCAAATTCATATTTGCAAAGCTTACCCTACTTGGCCTCAAAATCCGTGAGTGCATTTGTTTTAAGTGCTCTTACTTATCCTTGGTCTACAAGTTCAAGATCTAGGGGGATTGAGGAATACTTAAATTAATAAGCTAAACTGGCATTTGAATGTGCCAATAGGATATTCCTATATTTTTATTTAATTGTTTACACTGAATTCTGCACTTGTGTCCTGCCATCGGGTTTGGTGAGGCGTGTGCAAATGAATTAATAAGAAATGGATGTCATGAGAAAGCATTTAATTTCTGTGGCTGAATGTCACAAGGAGAAAGATATATTTTTTTTTGCTTATCTCAATGAGTTTGCAATGATCTTACAGTCCATGCCTTTCAAAAAAATAACACTGGAGTCCTAGCTGGGTGACAGGCAGTCCTGGCCCAGAAGAGGAACAGTAGTGTCCCAACTGCCATTGCCTGATTTGTGACATACATGAGAAATGTGTTTGTTCGCTGGTAGCAAGATATTTGGCTGCTGTTTGGATTTGCTTTTCTTGAGCTCTAAAACTAACTGAAGTTAAAAGAGAATATGCACAGTATGTATGTGTTTATATACATGTCAGTATGTAAGCTTTAAAATGGTTTCCGTGGTTTATGCTAACCCTGAATAGTTTACAGCCTTTTTCCAAAGGATCTACTAGTTTTCACTTTCAGAAAGGTAGGTCCTTCTAGTGACTGCAGAGGATGAACTAAATACTTTCTAGAAGAGCAGTATTTATTTATTTATTGGATATGCAGTCATTTTGTGTTTTTCTTTTGAAAAGTATTACTGATACCGAGATCTTTTTGGATGACCAGGATGGTAGCGGTAGGATAAGACCATCTGATTTTAACAGGAACAACGCTGTCTGCAGCCTTGTATGAAATAGAGACATTTAACACGACACAAGTGAACTCAAGGCCATTGTCCTCAAAGGAGGACGTTGTTCTTTTTCTCCATACCAGCTACCTTGACACTAAATATTGCAATAAAGAGACCTATACCAATGGTTACTCAGCCTTTGGAAAAGACTGTACAACGCTTCATTTTTATCTTGTTTAGATTTGTCCGACTCATTAAGTTACCATAAACTGCTGGGGTGCATCTTGTTTACATCTCTCTTTTAGGAAAATACACTGATTACTAGAGTTTCACTTTAAGACCTTATTTTAAGGTGCAGCGATTGTACAAGCACTGTGTGCATGATTGTTGCATTCAATTAGCTGGAACAACAACGAATATGTTTGTCATTTATACCCCTCTCGTCACCTACGCCCTCCTTCGTACACAGACACACTATTTCTAGGTTCTTAGAAACTAGCCACGCTGCTGGCATTTCAGGTGCACACACTGAAGTGGTGTGTATCTGTCATGGCACAAAACACTTAGTGTTTGAAAAGAAATCCTATATAGACACTGTTAGTGGCTTTAAGCAAGGGTATGGCCTTGGTTTTGCCCAAGACACCGGAAATGTATTGAATTTACACCATGTTTTTATAACAAAACACATCAGCAAAGCATTGGACAGTAATTTCTTTGGCACGGATGATCTTAATTTTGTATTCTGTGCAATCTGAGGAAAAACAACAAAAAAAGACACTATTCTCTCCCTGCACTACTTCAGTGGCTAAGCCCTGTCGCTGGGTTGTTCCTGATCTCTCATTGTAGGGAAGTGTTTCTGTGGGTCACAGTGCAACACCCCCAAGCAAAAGGATTCAATCTGAAGAGAACTGTTGTCTTGGTGTGCGATTTCACAGGCATATATTCCAGGCTTTGGATAACTGAGGAAAACTTCTCTTGTGTCTGAAATTTCAGAAGGGGAAAATGTTTTAACCGTCCATTTAAAATCTAAATGTGACTATTGTTTCGATATGTTGATGATTTTATCAATAAGGAAAGAAAAGCAAGGTGTTTGGTCAGAAACTTTGGCAGATGTTTTGAAAACAAGGAAATAATTATCTCTTAAGAGGTAACACTTTTTGTGCTCACAATCTCAGCATGAACATCTGGTCATTTTACACAGGTAACAATTTCTGAATAGTTTCATACACTGGCTGGCTGGAGGTAAAAGTATACATTCCTGCATTTGAACTTCCTTTCAGCAAATCAGATTTGCCTCTTCTGATAAAACTGTCTGATCTTCCATATTGAGCAAAGTTTAAGGATCTCTGAATATGCCACAAAGTTTGGGTGCTAAATATCCAATGAGATAGAGTTTTATCGCTTTGCTGGAAGTATTAGGGGGATATTATGTATAATTTCCTAAAAAATTTAAGAGAGAGATCTAATGCCTGCTTAAATGCAAGTGCCTTTCACAGTTTTCATGTCACACCTCATAATATCCTATTGTGGAAGAACACGTATTTTCATGAAATTGGAAAGTAAAACCAGCACTGAACTGGAAGATTTCTTTTCACTTGCAGCATTTAGACATTGCTTGACAGTGTCATATTCTTATGTCTCTATCTCCCACAGTAGTTAACTGTGAATGGTAAGGATAAGGCTGACTGTAAGATTTGGAAGTATGAATTATGTGCAAAATTATCTTCTTGTCATACCTGGGTTCTGGTGATACAGAAAAAAAAGTATGTCCACTGTTTAGTTGTATAGATTTTATTTCTAAGACTTTTACTGCCAAATGCATACAGGTGTGGTAGGTAAGAAGAGAGGCAAACCTGACATATTGTCAGGAACGTGTCGCTGTGACGTAGGAGCTCTGAGTTCATGCTTTGATCTTAACTTGCTTTTGTGTTCTAGAGCAAGATATGTAGCAGCTCTACAGTTTTTCCTACTCTGACTTGCTTACCATAAAACTCGTATTTAATGATTTATTTCATATCATTTGATGAAGAAGTCATGATTTGACTCACAGATGATCCAAGTGTATTAGTACTTGTGTCTGACAAAATTAAACAGTTGGGATATTTATTAGTGAATTTACCTTTCTGGAAGTTATTTCTATCAATGAAAAAGGGAGAAGGATGAGGGAGTGGGCAGCTCGAACTGTGACAAATAATGTGAATTATCATTCTTAGCTGCATGTCTGCAAAAAAGGAGGCTGGATCCTTGCTAACAAGGTAAACGAAATATATTTCAAGTGTTGCATTTTTGAATCCATAATATTGTTTTCCCCAACGTGAGATTAATTTCCTGGAAATAGTTCTGGAAACAGGACCTGGCAGCGACCAGCTGATAGTCATTTCTAAAATCTGAAAGTGTAAATGATTTCAAATTATACTGCAACTTTATTCAGAAAGTTACAGTAAGAAAGAACAGCAGACGTGTTTCTCTAATAGCAAATGGCTGTTCCTGTCAGCAGAGGAAAAAGGCAATGGACATACATATGATAAAAGTGACATCAGAAAACTAACTGGCCCTGTGACACGTTGCTAAGAGCCTAAACAGGTCAAACTGAATGTTTGAAATGTGTCATTCTGGAGCGCGGAACAAAAGGAGGACAAGAAACATGCTGAAATGGAAGGAAGTGGAGGACAGAATGTATTAATAGGGAAGTTGAAGAAAAGAAAATTATGATTGATTGTCTTACCAGAAACAGTGGCTGGAATTCCCTTAGATATACCGTAGCCCAAGGTCTAGATGTGGATACCTGAACCAAGCAGCATTTCCCCTACCCTGGTTCTGAAAGATTTACACAGAATTTAACTGTCCCTTTTCGGTACCTGACCTGCAGTTTGAGAACGTGTGTAGAGAAGCCAGATCGCTCCAGTTTCACTGCTGTAGTAGCAGGAACCATTTGTAACCAAGGAAGTTTATGTAGGCTTGTTTTTCATACTCACGTTGTAATGAATACGCATATATATGTGTATGTTCATGTGTTTAGTCTAGAAATCTGTTCCATTTCTCCAATATTTCAGTATTTCATTTAACTCATTATTTTTTTCCCTTTCTTTTCCTTTTTGATGTTGAATCATCTATTCTATTGCAGATGCTCTTCTCCATGTCTTGATCATGACAACAGCAGGTGAACTTCTGCATAATTTCTTTCTTTAATACATTGCACTTCTCACCCACCGTGTTTATCCTCCTCTCTTACCTCACTTCAGGATGCTTTAGTGTTTTGGTAGTGCATGTTAGCCAAGAGTGAAACAAAACCAAACTACTCTGACTAGCAGTAGTTGTTACATGTGGCCCTATTTCTCTCCTCGTACTGTAGATGTCCAGTTTCTCCCATCTGCTGTGTCCTCCATAAGAAAAGAATATTGGACACATAGTAAGTCCACTGCAAAAAATAATTTCAAAGCTCCTTATAAATTCCTAGAGTCTTTTAACCATTGATTTAATTAACGATGCATTTTCTTTGTTGGTGGCATGGTTTAGTATTATTACAAAGAGGGGAAAAAAAACCTCCCACAAATAATCCAGCTCAAACCACTGTAGGTTTAGTTTCAACGGCTATATTGCAAATTGGGCCTCTTATCTCACTTGTGTAGATAAAGAATGTTGCAGAGCCACATTTTCCAACTTGTGCCACCTTACTGGAACTAGCAGAATAACAGCACAGACCCAGTATATTTAATCTTTCATGCCACTTGCTTTTTTTGTGTGACCTTGGTGGTTGAATCACTGGCACATTGTGTCCTGCATAGAACACCTTCCCAAAGGAGATGATCTTCACTTGGCAAACCGGGTCTTTATTGACACAGTACCTCTTTGTCTCCTTTAACATCACTGTGGAAAGGTGACAGTCTTCTTTAATATTCATCTTTGCAGAATTATTAAATGGCTGAATAAAAAGCCAAACTACATATGCATATTTTTAGGTCATGTCAGCCAGTCTCTCTAGAGCTGACTAATACAGTGAAGAGAATGTTACCAGAAGTTATTACTCTCGTGGTTTCCTGTGAAGGATCATGTTTTTTGTCCTCCTGGCATGTGTATTTGGCCGTGTTTATGTAGGGCATAGTTGCAGCCTGATGGGAAGCACGCTGAGGTAGTTGAGTGACTTGCAGTTGACTTCAGTGGGACCTGGATCAAAGCCTTTCTTCTGAATTTCCGACTTTCTGTCAGTTTTCCTTCTTCAGCTGAACACTTTACAGTGGCTGAAGCACCCGATTGTCTGTTTCTGCTTCTTCACACTGCGACTAACACTGAATGCTGCTATCTCCTTGTTTCCCAGTTTCCTTTAAAAATTAAGATCACACACACAGAAAAGTACTTAACGGTGTCCACAATGGATGTGCTCTAGTTAGAGCTGTTGATTGTCTCCTGCTACCTGATGAGAGCATGCGTGCCTGCCTGGCTAGTTGGAGAGAGTAACTGTACCTGAACTGACCGTATGGAAGTGGTGGTGGATTGATTTTGCCCATTCTGGTTTTTGTGTGTTCAAAGAACTGTTGCCTGTTGTAGAAAGACACCTCACGATGCGAGGTTTGCATGGCTCTTCACATGACTCTGCAGAATGAGAAGTGCCTTTGAGTGCCACCATGCTTGTGTTCGCAGCTACCTGAAACTGTGACTCCTCTGCAAAGCTATTTCCCTAACGGTGACTCCTCACAAATCACAAAATAAGTATATTTAATCTTTCATCACAAAATAAGTATCTTCTCTCACCCCACAGCGTTGACACGTCCATTTTTTAACTTAATTGTTCATCTCGCTGTTATCTTTCAAATGAGAATAGATATAGAATAAAACCAAGTTAGTTCTGGATGAATAAAATCAGCAAAGGGAGTCACTCAGGCTCAGATCTGAAATACAGATATTTCATGAAAATACACCACAACTTTTTGCCCTTGTAAGGTGGATAAATCCAGTGCATATATAATGTCTGAGTTTTGTTCAAGTGGAGCCATTAGAAAAGGCATGGCTGTTTGCTCTGCTCTCTGCAGAAGGCATGGATCTGAAAGATTTAGGGGCCTTTTATATCTGTCCTCAGCCAGAAGGATGCTGTAGCCAGTGTTCATTTGATGTAGTTGCCTTTTGTATGGCCAGTATGTAGTTTTTAATTGCTCTAAAATCAGAGGGAATGAAATGGCCTCTCTCATTTATAAGTATTGCTGAATTAGAGGAGAATGGATAAGGCTTGATATAATTGCTAACCACGAGTTTAACAGGAGTATGTCTAGATGCCTCTGCAGTCTATAACTTAGTCCTAAAAAAATTTGCTTTTGTTCTTTATTTTTTCTAAAAAAAGATTTTTAAAAATCCTGCTTTCCCCTTCATTCTCTTTAAAAGGGAGAAGGCAGTGATTTCCCAAAACCTGGTTTGTTTTGTTGATTTGGATATTGTATGGGCCTACCACCTGGCTAAAGCTCCGTGTCTGTCCAGTTTGCCAGACTCTCAGGGTGGCATCTTTATGTCGTGCATTTCTGCCTGAACCTTTAAAACTGGCAGGAAATGGAACTTAGGCAGAGGCTCTCTTAGTGCTGAGAAAGATGGTCCCACTGCTGGCCTGGTCACCCCTGACATACAGATGTTAACTTTGCTGCTTTAACCTGTAATCTGCTTTGATTTTGAATCATCGCTTAATTGAAAGTGAAGTTCTTGCCCTGGGTTGCCAAGATAACCTGAAGTCAGTGCTAAAGAAGGATGCTTCCCCTTTATAGCGTAGGTATAAACGCATTTAAACACGTATTCTGAAATAGACATTTGCTGATGGAAAGGACACACCATTTGTTGTGTTACTTGATCAGTCAGTTCACTTACTGTGACCACCTTTGTTTTAGATGGCTCACAAGAACGTTTTCGTGCTCATCAGCTGCCCCCAAGTTTTCTCCTATTGATACTGTTTTCCCTCTCCTCAGTTTTGCCTCTTTTCTCCTAACTGTATTCAGGCCCTGCTAAGGTTTTCCTTCCCTTAGTATGCCATTTGTAATCCCTTCTGAAAAATTTCAGCTATTGTATCTACAATGGAGTTCCTGCAAGTTATTTTGGTTTCTTTTACACTTTCAGTAATTTTTAATATTATAATAATCTTAGAAGCATGTAGGGAACATTTACCAGCCTTTTTTTTTTTTTTAAGAATCCTTCTCCCCTGCTAGTGATAACTTGTAAGAGCTTTCTGATTCCATTTAATCCCTTTTATTAACTTCCTTCCTTCCTTCCTTCCTTCCTTCCTTCCTTCCTTCCTTCCTTCCTTCCTTCCTTCCTTCCTTCCTTCCTTCCTTCCTTCCTTCCTTCCTTTTCCTTTTGAACTCTTCACAGCCATTTTTCTCTTCAATGAGCCCTCTCCTCTTCATTCTCTGTACCTAAATGGTCAGTAGTGCTTGCAGTAGTGCTTCCTGCACTGGGAACATGGAGTAAGCTCTGAGTTCCCTGCTTAGCCCAAAGTCCCTTTTTGCCCCGTGCAGTCAGCGTGAGCAGAGGGTGCCCAGTGCCCTTTGCAGAAGGGGGACCTTGAAAAGTTTGAAGTCAGAGCAGAGCAGACTGATGCAAAGGTTGAGGGGGTCCCTCTTGGGGATGGTGAAGCACAGCACCCTCTCTCTACATGCAGTAAGAGAAGCAGCCCCACACCTCAGCCTCACAGAGTCTATGTGATGTCAGGCTTATTCATATGTTAGCATTGTGTATGATTTTATTTTCAACCATGGGACTTTATAATGAAAAGGTACCACTTCCCAGAGTGGTGGCTTCATCTGCCAATTATTCCTCCTAGTTTTCTTTGTTCAGTTGAGTTACAATCCCTTCCTATCTCAGTCTTGTCATTTAACATCTGGTAAAAGAAACATTAGGGAGAGGAAAAATGATGTGTGTGTCTGTGGGCAACAAAGTAATTAATTTGCATTTTACATTTCCTTTATATTAATCACACAATTTTTTTACTTTTCTAAATGCACATTGCAGAAAGCATGTTTTGTGTCAAGCATTAGTTTGTATTAATTATTTGTGTATTTATATACACAGTCCTTCAAAAGGGCAAAGCTTTTCCAGTCCTGGAACAGTCACGTCACCATCCAGATGCCCTGTTACGTAGCAAATGGGCAGAAAAAGAGGCTGCTGTGGTTCAGAAAATGCTTTGTTATAAATTATTTGTTTGACTCTGTTGCATATCCAAAATTAAAAGATACTAAAGATATTAAAAAGATACTAATAGAAATTGGATTAAGTAAGTGGATGAAAAAATGAATATGGCAGAAGGTTAGGAAATAACAGGGTGGTTTGGTGAAAAAGAATGGATCTTTACATTCTGTGTCAGCTCTATAAATTAATCAGTGTGGTGTCCTTTCAGATTTAATATGATAATTGGCACTAATCTTTCTCCACTGTCCTCCTGCTGTCCTGTGCTTGCCTGAGCTTGCTGTCCAGCAGTGGAAGGGTGCTTGCAGTCTCCTCAGTGGTTTCAGACTCGCCCAGAAGTCGCAGAACCCTTCAGGAATCTCCTGTTCCAGTGCAGTGGCACCAGTCTGGTTCTGGTGCGTGCTGTGGTGGGCGCTCCTGTTTGCCAGGTTGTCTCCTGTTATTTAGGAAATACATTAGATATTCTTTCTGGCAGAAGCAGTGTTTACAGTGAGTGATAGTAATACCCTACTGCTTTTATCCTAACCACTGTTACCTTTGTGCTCACCATCTCTGCCTGGTTCTCTGCTCTTTGGAACAATGGTTGGTTTCAGTGGTAGCTGACTGACAGACCTTGTGACAGATCCACGGGCAGCCCTTGCTCTGACCCCACAGGCACACTCAGGAAACTTCAGCTGGAAGAGAGAGTTGCAGCTTTAATGCCCGAACACACAGGAGCATCCCTTTGCATCTCGAGTGCTCACTAGAGACTGAACACCTCGCTAGGTTCTTCATCCATGTGCATTAAATCCCAGGTGGCGCAGGTGTGGGAACAGAGGGCTGTGACTGTGCGTGAGGTGAGATACCAGCTTGTTACAGATGATCAGAATCACAGACTGCTCCTGCTTCCTCAGCTTCTCTGTTAGTTTTACACCACACTCTTAATTGTGGAACATGTACTTTAGGAGAAGGCACTACTATTTGGGGTTTAAACTGAAAGAGGGGGGGTTTAGATTAGATATTAGGAAGAAGTTCTTCACTGTGAGGGTGGTCAGACACTGGAACAGGTTGCCCAAGGAAGCTGTGGCTGCTCCTCCCTGGAAGTGCTGAAGGCCAGGCTGGATGAGGCTTTGAGCAACCTGGTCTAGTGGAAGGTGTCCCTGCTGCTGGCAGGGGGGTTGGAACTGGATGAGCTTTAAGGTCCCTTCCAACCCAAACCATTCTATGATTTCAGCACTCTCCTTATCTTTTAGCTAGCTTAAAAGGAATTGCTAGAGAGAGAAAGAGCACCATCTTGAAAGCAACAGAACCCATGACTGTGGTCAGAAGGGAGACGATTTGATTTGGACCCTGACCTTTTGTGTGTATGTATCCTTCTAGCAGTTAACACTGGTTTTGGCATTGCTGAGCCAGATGGGGAGATAAGCTAAGGAGGAGATAAGACAGATGACCTAGCACTGATAAGTCAGTGGTGGACCACAGAAGAAGGTGATCCTGTTGTTAAAGTGTACAATCTTAAGTATTACATCAATCAGGGAGTAATTGAATTCTAAAAACTGTATTCATGACAACCTGCATCATGAAAAATGTGAATGGTAACGTCATTCAGTTCAGTGCACTCATTAGCTTCTGGTCATTGTGGGGGTAGTATTTCTGGTGCTCATAGTATTAGCATCCAAACTTCTTCCAGCACTCAGAGTTATCAACTACCTCTAACACCCATCAGAACAGAGACTTGGACCGATTCTCTGAAACACAATTCAGAGGCACTTTGATAACACTACTGCTTACAGCGAAAGGAAAATTGCAGTGCAAGTTGTAGAGCATTATTACAACAACTGAGCGTTTTGGATCTCCTGAGCTCTTCTTTCATCTGTGCTTTAAAATGTATAAAGTATGTATTTTAAGAAGCAAGCTCCCATTTTTCTAAATTAATCCCCAGAGAATCAAAGCTATAAAATGTTTTCATTTTCTTTTTTTCCCCCCCTTGTTAAAACCACAGAAACAGCAACCTCTAAGGGATGAGATAATGGTTGTACTGCCCAGACTTTTACACTAATCAAAGCCTAGAGGTATATGAATGGCAGTAGAATAGGAGACTGCATGTGTGAGAACGACCGGCATCCGTGCTGCATGGTGTGCTTCCGACTGGCGCTTGCGGCTCCTTCCCATCATCCATTCTTCTGACTTGCACGGTGTGTCGGGTGTTGTGTTTTTACAGCATGTGGAATTCCTTGTAGCCGTGTGGACAACGAATGGATGCGATGTTTGTTGCACAGAAGGGTCAAGGGGACGGTGGAATAATACCTGTGTTTGTTACTCATGTTATAAGGGCTTTTCTCTATTGCAGGTCCTTCAGTAGCATTTCCACGACTCCCCGTGTGATGATTCTATTTTAGTGGCTAGAAGTAGGCCTGATCCCCTTCTGTCTCATCTACTCTTATTTTCACTTCCAACAACCTGACATTCCCATCCCACATCAGGCATGATCCTAAGTCATAAACCAATTAAAAAAAAAACCCTAAATTAACGTAGTTCTACACCTTTCCCAAGAATATCCTCAGTCTGTGTAACAAATCTGTCGAAATCTACCTGTTGGTCATATATGGAACTATAAAAAGTTCAGCATCAAAGAAAATTCCATGAAATGTTTTTCTCCCTGTTAAAGAAAAAGAAAGAAATTAGATAGTTTACCTTGCACTAGAAGAGGGCTCCCTGTAGATGGCTTTCTGCAGCTGGAAGTTTGCCACTGGGACAATGTATTGCTGGTTTTTTACATTTGGAGAAATTATAGTTTATCAAATAACTAGAAAATTCTGTAGATAACCTAAAAAAAACCAACCCCAACATCCCTTCCAATCAGAATTGGCTTTCTATTCTTGAGTCATAAATAATTGTCTCCAATAAGATGTATTTGCATGTGAAGTATTTTGGGAGTGGCAGCTTTACAATACAGACACTCGCAGGTACAGAGCGGCGCTGTTTGCGCTTGCCTCTGTCTCCAGTAGGTACATACACATCTGCTGACACTTCTTAGTGACTGCTGGTGTTTTTCCCAACAGCAGCACTCTAGGATCAGACTTTCTGTGAGGAACTCTTAGATAGCAGTTGTCAGTGTAATGAATGGAGGAACTTGGCATGATTTGGTGCTTCCCATGGGAGAAAGGCTTTTTCTACTCGCACATCTTGAGAAGGAGCTGTATTCACATACCTAGTTTGCTGCGTGTGTGGAACGTCATCAAAGGAACGTTGATATCTTTTGTCTCTAAGGTTTTTTCCCCCCTGGTTTTTCAGCTTCCTCGTGAGTTTCATGGTGGATGCTCGTGGGGGTGCCATGAGAGGCTGCAGACATAACGGGCTACGAATCATCATTCCCCCGCGCAAATGCACCGCTCCCACGCGAGTGACCTGCCGGCTGGGGAAGCGCCACAGGCTGGCCACCATGCCTCCCATGGTGGAGGGCGAAGGTCTGGCCAGCCGCCTGATCGAAGTTGGACCTTCTGGTGCTCAGTTTCTTGGGTAAGGGGTGCCAAACGGCCTACAGGAGTTCAGTCTGGTTTCATCTTTGCAAGTTGCACTGAAATGGTTCCTTTTTTGAGAAAACTTGAACAGAAAAAGATGTTTGTAGCATATGGCGACAGACTGGTCGTGTGGAACACAAATCAGTTGTTAGTTAGCAGCTCACAAAGCTTCCCTGCCTTTTCCTTTGAAAACGGCTATTTTAACCACTAGTGCTGAGGTTAATGTGCTTCCCTGGGTATAATTTTTACTCAGTGTTGTGATATTATAGTGGGAAAAGACCCCTTTGCAACCAGAAAAGGCAGCTCATACTATATTTAAATAATCTCCGTGTAAGGCACGAATAGCACAGCACTGACCTAAAGCCCAAATGTCAAGCCTGCTGCATATACAATACAAGTTACAGCTGCTTAATTGAGGGACTTGTGTTGTGTTATCAGTGATTTGGACTATCAGGGAAGCACAGCGCCTTCGATTTTTCTGGGGTTGGAATTGCTAAATTAAGCAATAGGACAACCCTGGAATTTTTCTGGCCTTTTCTTTTGTTCTGTGCTGCAAAACCCGTAGAGAGATCAGATTTGTGTCTGCTGCTGAGCTTGTTTTAGCAATTTTCAGCTGAAAGCAGCAGCTATCCACACTTCATTTGTTTTACCAACTGTTCTCCCTCTCAACTGTGGCATCCAAAAGTGGATGATTGAAGGAACCCCTTCTGTTACAATAAATAGCTTCATTCCCAAATGGTAAAAAAAAAAAGTGACTCTGTAAACAGCAACGGTTTAAATCCATTTTGAAAGAAATCACTTGCTTTAAAATCCCATTAAACAGGCAGTCATTAGAGCTACTTCCTTCGTTAGTGCCTCTTCTAAAAGGTTGAGCTTAGGGAGGAAAAAAAGGTGATTGGTAGGTTTTAACTGCCCACGCCTTTTACATGGAGTGTGAGAGGAGGACATGCCCAAGATGGGTTTTGGCTTCTTTGCTGCTGCTCTAATCTGGTAAAAAACCCCAGCACTTGCTCTTTGAACCACTGCGAATGTGCTGCAGAGAGCAAGCCAGCCCTTCCTGTTGGCAGACAGGACACCTTTTAATATCACAAGTAACGACAAACGAGTTGGCTCATCAGATGCTTGGTACCACTTACTCTTTTCACATCTTGGCCACTTTTAAAAAGAAGCAAAAAGAAATCTAAAGAGCAGAAGAAATATTGTCCTGTCACATTCAGTCTTCCCATTACCTTTGTCACACGCAAATTGACCTTAAGTGTGTCTCCCATTTTCTTTTGAATGGTTTCTCTATCTAGTGAGAAGGTGCAAGGCCAGGATACAGCACAGTTTTATTCATTCTCAGATCTCTGAGCCCTTCCTGCGAGCGGTTTTGTAGGTGTTGTACTGGCAGTGAAATCAGAAAACTCCTGTAGTGTTTGCAGAGGTGCATTCCAAGGTCCAGATCCTGTTTCCATTGAGTTCACGGCCAAAACTACCGTTGTCTTCCCACAAGCAAGAGAATATTCTAAATTAAGGAAAGGGATTTTGATCACAAAATGGTCATCACTAGGACGGAACCTTATTCAGTGTACAGCCTAATTCCACTCTGTGGACCAGACAGTGGCACTGGCGTTCTGGCACAAAAAATACATAAAGCTTATTTATGTTCTTTCTTTCACTGCTGCTTTGGATGTACTCAGTAAACTTCATCTGCCTACGGCTCCTCCCCCACTTAATGAGGGAGAAAGCTTGGTCAGCCGAATCCTTCAGCTGGGGCCTCCTGGGACCAAATTCCTTGGGTAGGAGAGACTTGAAACAAATTGATGGATGCTGACCTCCCCATTCTTCTCCTCCTTCTGCAATATGATTTTTTTATGTCATTATGCCCATGATATTGTCCCTTTCTATCATTTGGAGTTTTGTATACCTAACCCTTAGTGGACCATTTCTCAACCTTGTGGTATGTGGTTTTGTTTTGGTGGTATGTTTGTATCTTTTTCTTCAAGTACTGTGGCCCTCATTTTTGTTTTGGCATGAAATCTTCCTAGTTCTGTGCTTGATGTCTGTAGCAAAGCAACCTGGATTGGGACCAAAAAAAAAAGAATCTACTGTAAATTTTAAGATGTTTTTTGTATCGAGGAGTGATTGATCAGTAAGTTATATGTTGGCTATCACCAGTATAATAGAACACGTGACATTGACTGTGTACATGGTAACCTGTGTGGGTCCTTTAATTAGAGAAATGTATATACAAATATATTTGTCTTTTCTCTCTTATTTCTAAGAGTATGTATGTATATGTATATATAAATATGGATATCTTATATGTACACATGTTGTGTGTGTGTATGTGTATATATATGTATATGGACGCATACACTGATACATAAAGGCAAATTCTTATCTCCTATACTGAAATAGAAACCCAGATAATCTCCTCAGACCTCCTGTATCTCTCCCAGAGTGCAAATCAGGAGTAAGATCATTGGAATATGCAGTATTGCAGTGAAGTAAAATCGGCCCAGGACACACATGCCCGCTGATTGCAATGAAATTATTCTGATTTGCACTGGTATAAGTGAGATGAGAATTTGTGCCACTATCCATACATGTTACAGTAGATTCTCTTTGAAATGAAGTTGCACAGGTTAACCCAGACAGTAGTGACAACCGCAATGAGCATGAGTTTTTCATGACTTTGCAAAACCAGTACCAAATCTCTAGCTGAGCACTGTTATCTCACCAAATACCATTCACACTGTGGAAAGAGGTGAATGCACTTTTTAATCTGTCCTTCACCATTTACCGGGTCCCTGTAAAAATGTAGTGTGTGTTAGTGACCTACTAGTTTAGGGTTATGCCAAAGCATTCCAGCCAAATAGGTAGAATTCCAGGTCACTTTGTAGCAGACTGAATAGAGTTGCTGTTAATCCTGTTCCTTCCTCTCTCCCGTGTGCGTTCAATGCGCCGTGTTGCTGTGCCAGGCCCGTGATTGTGGAGATCCCCCATTTTGCTGCTCTGCGTGGGAAAGAGAGAGAGCTGGTGATCCTGCGCAGCGAGAACGGGGACAGCTGGAAGGAGCATTTCTGTGAATACACGGAGGATGAACTGAATGAAATCTTAAATGGGATGGATGAAGGTAGCAACTGTGACTTTTCTTTTCTCCCTCTCTGCTCCTGCATTACTTCTGTAACTGGGGGTAACAGCATTTTACCATTTATTCCTTTTATCACCTCATGTTTGGTCCACCCTGAGAATTTCTGACACTACATCCTCCAGATACGTCATTTCAGTCACGTATTCAGTCACAATTTTATATTTCACTGGAGAATAATCACGTTCTCGGTCCAGGAGCCAGCAGAAGCACTGCACACTTGTGCTTACTTCCTTCGCCGAAGCAGTGCGACAAAACAAAATCTACCATCACAAAGTTGAGAGTAGATGCTAGACTTGTGTTTTCTACTGCTCCTTCCTCTTCCTAGTGTTAAACGAAAAGCTTCCATAGCAAACATCTTTCCAAAACAAGGCAATTATCACTAATCCTTCCCAGGCAGCTACACGTGTGGGAGGAAATGTCAGTCATGGGTACTTTTGCTTTCTGAGAGAACAGCACGGCCTTGGGCTGGCTCAGATCTGCAGAATTTGTTACTAATTTTTATGGGGTTGGTTTTTTTCCCAAACCAAACAAGCAAACAGCCCTAACAGCAATAAGTGAGCCAACTCACATCCTTACAGCTGAACTCATACTTTGACACTTTTTTGATCTGGAGTTTAAATACTCCAGGCCATAGTGTAAACGTGTGAAGCAGAACGGGGCTTGAACCAATCCCTCTGCTTGTTTGCCTGCTGATTTTGAGGACGTTGTCAACAGTTAGCTGTTCGGTTTGCCTGTCCATTCCTTTTTTGATTTCTCTGGTTTAGCTGAACTTAAATACTGGGGTATGTTTCCCTTTCCCCTTTGATTTCTAGACAAAATGCTTTTCTAAGTTGCAGTTAAACTGTTAAAAGCTTGATTGCATTTTCAAGTTTGCTGTATAGTTTTTATGAAATTCTCAACTTCTTACCACGTTGTCTTTTGGCCTCAGTACTGGACACTCCAGAAGAGCTGGAAAAGAAACGTATCTGCCGCATCATCACCCGAGATTTCCCGCAGTACTTTGCAGTGGTATCGCGGATCAAACAGGACAGCAACCTCATCGGCCCCGAGGGAGGTGTGCTGAGCAGCACTGTGGTGCCACAAGTGCAGGCAGTCTTCCCCGAAGGCGCTCTCACCAAGCGAATTCGCGTTGGCCTCCAGGTATAAAGACAATTACAAGACTTATCCTTTTTGTTTGGTTGGTTTTTTAGTTTAAATTCACCTTCTTTGAATGGAGAACCAGCATATTCAACTTCTCGTGTTGCATGTTGTTCTCTAGAATGCTTCTAGTAAAAATAATTTTTAAAAAATAAATCCAGGCAAAACTCAAAGCAAGTGGTAAAGCTTGAGGATGTTTCAGTTAATTCAGATCCCTGTCTGTTAACTGTCTGTATGATCTTGCAAAAAGCACCTGATCTTGGTGGTGGTGATGATATATAGAGTAGATCATAGAACAAGTTCTTAAGTACTTCTTATGAAAGGCATCAGAGAAGTAGAGAGTGCTGTAATAACTTAAGTCAAATATCCAGATTCTCAGCATGAAATAAACCAGCCTAACAGTTTGGTACTGAAAGAGGGGGAAGTCTTTCCCCTGCCTGCATCCCCTGCTCCTGCTGCGTGCATCCACGGCGTACCTGGGCCAGGAGACTGTGCTTGTTGAAATCCCCTGGGAATAGCTGAACAGCTTACTGAAATAGCTCAGAGCTCGTTCTAAGGGAAAAACAAAAGAGAGGTGACAAGGGAATCATTTGCTACTGCTTAAGTGAATTTAATTAGTGCTGTAAAGGGTCTGACAGGCACCAGGAAAGAGGATAGGAAGAGGAGGAGGGCGTGAGAAAATTGAAAAAGGGAGGTGTCTGCAGATTTTCATGAGAGATTGTACTAGTCAGTGTGGAAACTTCAGGGTTTCATGGCAAAGACAGACTCAGTTCTTCACGTGCTCACTAAACTGTTTTCCAGTGACTATTCTGTTGCTGTCTTCTGCTTTGCAAAGGCTCAACCTATGCATACTGAACTAATAAAGAAGATTTTAGGCAACAAGGCTACCTTCAGCCCGATAGTCACGCTGGAGCCCCGGAGAAGGAAGTTCCATAAACCCATCACGATGACGATTCCTGTCCCCAAGGCCTCCAGCGATGGCATCATGAATGGTTATGGAGGCGACACCCCCACTTTAAGGTTACTATGCAGCATAACAGGTAGGATGCAAATACTGGAACTTTTTTGTGCATGTAGAAATTGTCAGTCATGGTGGGCTGAGTATGTTAGGCTGATTATACACAGGGAAAGCTTGGTGAAAACCTGACTGGGATGAGAGGCTGTGAAAATAAACTGCTTCCCAAACAATTACTTGATAGCAGAAATAACATTTGTTGTTTGGACTAACAAGAGATGTGTAATGTAATCAGAGACTGAATTTGTGCCTTTTTTGCATGTTCCTTAGTTTGTTTTTTGAGAACCAACATACCTCTGCCTCGCAGAGTAAGTGTAGTACAGACAGAACATTGCAGTACGCTGCAGAGGAAAATACTGGAGTTAAACACTTTATACTTGCTGTAACTCCAGAGCGATGAGCGTCTCGTTCAGTCTCAGTTCAGAGGCAGAAATGAGCTCCATGCATTTATTCTGTTCACAAGTTCTTAATTTGCAAACTGATTTCAAATACCAACCCAATGTCAGAGGCACTGCACACCGAGATGTGCCGATGAGTCGTGCTGGAGAAGAGGTGCTTTTACACTTTCTTGATACAAAGGTGTTAGGTAGGTGCTGAAGTATCAGAAACAACATCTAGTCAGCAAAGAAGTATTTGCATTTCCAAGAAGAGAATGGTCTCCTCTACAAAGAGGAATTTTGGTAAGGTTCTCAGAGGGACAGTAAATCTGCAGGGATCCTCTAGAAAACTTGAGAAGGGAAATTGGTTCAAAGAATGCTTCAGCAAAAGAAGAAAGGAAGTATTTCCTGAAAACTAGTCGTCCTTTACCGATACAACTTGGTTTAATGTTTGCATGTAAAGACACTGCTCCGTGGTCAAATGGATATCTAACAAGTCAGCTGTAGTGAGAGGAGGGACAGACACACACACACACACCACTTAGCACTGGTGGTGCACAGTTTTTCTGTAGTTTTATAAACATTCCTAACTGCTGTTAGAAATCAACACTTCCATTTCTGTTTTCTGTAAGTTCGGTGTGATTTAAAGGTAACTGGAGACCAAGGGGACGTTCTTCACCAAAAGATGAGGCAGGTACCATATATTGAAGAACTTGAAAACAGGGCTGCAGGGTGACAGATTGTGCCCTCATTTTCGGCTGCATGGACCAGAGAGGAAGCTGGCAACATCCATGGCAAAGAGGGATGAAACACTTAACAGCCTGGAACAACGTGATATGGAAATGCACCTTTCAACTGCAGGATCTGCCAGGGAGCTTGTCAGACACGTTGTTTCAGGAGTTTTCATAACAACGTGCAAAAGAAATTTCTTAGTTATGTACACACTGGACCTGAGTCTGCAAATTATTTGAGAAAGAAGCAGATTATAGAAATAGTAAATTGTAGTTGTCACTGTTAGTAACACTGTTATTGTTTCCCACATGTAACAATATAGGTTTAACTGCACTACATCTGGGCCAATACTGCCTCACAGATGCGAATAGTGTAGAGCAAACAAAATGATTTCTAATAAATTACATCTCTCTCCCCCAAATTCTGGCCTTTTTTAGCATTTCTGGAGCTATGCTACGGGACTTACAATTGGAAAATCATTTGGGCACTTGTTTTTCTCAGGGGAAACCCATCCAGTCCTAGTAGCATTAGTGGAATAATGTGGGCCTAAGGAGAAGGCATGGCTGGGATTATGACTGGTTTCATAGCAATTAAAAACTCAGAAGAATGTAAAATAATTCTTAGAAGCAAGAAAGTTGCAGACTTGCCTGGTTTTAATTTTTTAAAAATCTCTTCTAATTTCAGGAGGAACCACCCCTGCCCAGTGGGAGGACATCACTGGAACAACACCGCTGACGTTTGTTAATGAATGTGTTTCCTTCACCACAAACGTGTCTGCCAGGTACCTGCACAGCACAACATCAGGTTTACAGTGTGACTTTCAAGTGCATGTCTTTTTTTGACAAATATTTCTTTTAAACTATTTCAGTTTATATAGTAGAAGGAATATAGATATCTTGCCTGTGCTGTGAACCAGCTGGCAAGGCATTTTGGAAACCCTGAGCCTCCTGGCCCAGAGGGATGATGCACTATAAAAGAAATTGATATTCTTGTCATTTTTGTCGTGACCATTAGTCCTTTGCAGTCAATACCTGCTATGGTCCCAGAAATTAATTAATGACATACTCATCTTTCTGAAACGGGAATCTGAGGGGCAGCTCAGCTTTCAGGTAGTTAAAAAAATGCTGGTTTTGTATCGAATACCCCTTCTCTCCCAGATGCAGAAATATGCAAATTTCCATGGAAACAGAAATTTCCCCTATTTGGGAAACTCATTATACATCTTACAAAAGATAAGAATAGCCAACAAATGAGAAATGAAGCTGAAAGGCCTGTAGGTGTTCCTGACTGGGGTCTAGAAGAATGTTGTCCAACCATCTGTCGTGTGATGAGATTCAACTGCCATCTTTTTGAAAACAGAATTTAATATAATAATAATAACAACAATAATAATAATAA